GGGGGGGGCCCCCCCCCCCCTTGAAAGGCGGACCGAGACATAACCGGCCCAAACTCTTGCACTTGCACCGCTCGCCCCCTAATACTTGCTACGCAAGGGGGAACTCAGGTAGCTCACCGCTACCTTTCGAGATTGCACATATCGGGCTCAGTATCATAAGTTCTACCACAGTAGATGAAGCCTGTAGCAGCCATGCAGCTCCAGCCAATGCTACTAGGGCCAAGGTCCTCGGCTTCCCCAGAACCTGTGAAAACCCCATGGATATCCATGGAATTCCATGGATGTTTTTGGAAACAAGCACTTGGTAGGGTGAAAGAATCAGGTAAACCATGTCCCAAGCTCGCTGAGGCGCACGCGTCCGTCCCTTTCGGACATCGCCATAAGCCTTGGTTGATGATCCCAAGGCAAAGATTGGACTCCGATAGTGTTGAACACCTAGGTATGGCTAGCGAAATAAGGTACTAATGGTACTAATTGTCACTAATTGACCCACAAACTTGGTCATTTCGAGAGTTCTTGACCATTCCAAACTGGGGGTCTCTAGGTTTTGAGCCATAATTACCCACTTGCACATGCTGGAGGTGGCATCCCAGGCATCCGTGCGCGTGCCATGGCTTTTGCCATGAATTGGTGGCAACGAAGGGCCCGCTATGAAAATCAGTGGCAGCGGGACTACACGGTCAAGATCAGTGTGCCAAATGGTGCCAGCATGTGCCTGCTATGATCTTTCATGTGCAGGAAAGTGAGGACTCAGGCAAGTAGTCTTTGGTGACCCACAAGCTTTGACTGCGGTCACCAAGGCACCATCTATCAAAGGGTCACCAAGGGCTCACTGGAGACTTGCTTTTCTTGCAGCAACTGGTGGCTGGCTCGCGCGAAAATTGTGCCTGTATTCCTTTCCAATGCGGACGTCCAAGTGCCGCGTACTTCACAAATTGTCGTTGATAGCTTGTCGAATGTGGCAATGCTCAAGGTCCCATGTCCTTTCGCATCACTTACGAAAGGCAATAATGCTCAAAGGATACCAGTCATCGCTTTGTTATCTTTGTTGTGAATACCCTCAACATCTTGTGAATCTATGTGCTCGAAAGTCATCTTACGACTGTGGAAGATGCGGGAAGCAATGCTGCTGTTTTGTGCTGTCAGCACATCACCAAGGAATCTCGAGCCTTGGACAAAGGATGACAAAGGAACAAAACTCAGAAAAATCTGGGTCCCGGTGATGGCTGGTGGGTATCAGCAAAGGGTATGTATGATCAACAATGAAAAATAATGCAGTAAATGATAATCAAACTCAAACTATTATAATGTAAGAACAAGGCATAGAACAAAGCTGAGACGATCATGAGACAATCCGCAAACAAACAAGTAAAATCACGAATCAACCAAAGTCCTGGCTACCAATGAGTTATCGATCAAAGAAAATAAACGTCAAAACTTCCTACTACTGTAGCACAATCAAGTGTTGTAGTGGTCAGAGGTATGCAAGCAAGATCAGCGATCCGTAGGATTTTAGAGATTCTGTTCTGATAGATTCTGATAGATTCTGATAGTATTGAACCATCTGGGACCATCTGGGACCATCTGGGACCATCTGGGACCGCCAAGCCCATCTTCTGCGTTGAAGAATTTGCCAGTGGTGTCCATGTTCACTCGCTTCGCCTAAGCCATCTGCGTGAAACTGGAGATAGATTTCAAGCTGTTGAATCGTGTTGCATGTTTTTAGGGTTGTTAAATGTTGTTAATTCTTGGAAACATCCCATCGATTCATCTTGGACCTCTCAGCGTTTCCCGATCGTTTCCCGATCGTTTCCCGCCTCATGCAGGACTCGTTTTGCACCCACAGACGCATCCACTGCTCCCTGGCTCAGCCACCCCCGCGAAGCTTCACCAGTCTGTCTCCGGTTTCTTCGTCAGGTGCCCCAAGATCCAATGGTATTATCATCAGTGTCCCTATTAAAATATTTAAGAATTAATATTTTGGGGGTCATCCGTACCTCATGTTCAGGTCCAAAGTCACATGGGGCAACTTCAATCGACAATCTGCAATATCCGGCCTCAATATCCCAAATCTCCTCGAACTTGGAAGTCATTTCAGTCCGGTTGAAACCTGGAGTATTGGAAGAACCACTGCCCATGATTGCCCATGTGATGCACCTCTGACAGACTAGTAACTCACGTTCTGAATATGAGGATCGTCCCTCCAAATGTATAGTATGACCACAGGAATCGTCGACCTGCCTAAAATCAACAGAGCAAACAGGTTCTTGGGGCGTAGGATCAAAAAGCATCAAAAAAACACAGAATACCTGTACTAGCTGCGGCTATAGCTGCCTACAGCTGACTATAGCTGGCATCATTCTCATCTGCGTTGCATTGCGTTGCTATCATTCCCCACTGTGAATGAAAGAAAATCCGCACAAATGGATTGTTTCAACCTCATGAAAAGAATATGAAAAAATGGAATACTGCAATCATGATCCTATGGCGCAAGATGTCGGACTCTCTGTTCCGGCCAGTCTTTCTCTATGGACAAGTCACCGGGATGCACCAGAGTCACGGGGATGCCAGCCTCAGGCTTTCAAACTTCAAAGCCAGGGCATGAATCCGTGAATCCAGTGCACACTGCACCGACTTGTCTTGAACACTTCAGTATTACAGGATTCCCTGTTTCAGCATTTCCGCTTCAGTTTTCAACTGCCTCCTCCACTCTTGAAATATCAGTTGGGCAGTTTTGTGGCGAGAGGGGCAGGGAAGTCTGGTACAAGTGTGTTGTGTCCCAAGAATGGTGTGTTCCCCCTAACTATAATATGCTGACCCTCAGATTTCTTTCGGTTGGGTCTCCAATCACAGGATCCCCTTCTTCCTCGAGTCTAAAGAGTTCCTAGCTCCACCATCTTCCACCTTCCACAATTTTCCACCATTCTTCTGCTGTCAATAAACATTTTTTTACAAGAAACCAGGGTTATTACCACCAACTGGAGGTTCAACCCTAAAAAATTTCCCGCGGCAACCAATTCTGGGACACAGGGCCTCTTTGAGTTCTTCGGACATCAGTGCTGCTGCAATGTTACCTCAGCACAACCACTGTACATCTCAAGGCTTTGCCAGCCTGGCCAAAGGAGGATCTCTCTTGCAATACATTTGTATAAATATGATGTTCCTACATTTTGAAAAAAATATTTCATGTATAGTGTTATATATAATATGTAATATATATATATATATAATAAATTCAAAAATATAATATATCTATACAATATATATATATATAATAATATAACATGTGATACATATAATATATATATATATTAAAGGGGAAAAATATGATATAACAAATATATTCTATACTATATAGTATAATATATATATATATGTAGATACACATATTATAATATATATATACATATAATATATATATATATATATTGTGTGTGTTATATATATATATATCGACTATAATAGACATACATAATATGTGAATACCAAACAGAGTATATATAATCTATAATATCTAAATTATATGTAAATAATGTATGTATGTATGTATGTATGTATGTATGTATGTATGTATGTATGTATGTATGTATGTATGTATGTATGTATGTATGTATGTATGTATGTAAGAAATATTCAAAAATATAATATGAAAAGTTCTATTGAATATATATATATTGTAATATGTTGTACATATACATTCTATAATTAATCTTATATTATATATAATACTAAATATAATTAATATCATATAATGTTTTATATATTACAGTATATATTAAATATATATATATATAATATTATAAAATATAATATGTAATCAATAAAATATTTAACTGTAATAGTTATCGTATGTATAATCATTAAATTATATATTATACAGGTATATGTAATATATGTAGTTATTTAAGTTTCTGTGCCACGATGTTCGCATAGCATCTATTTGTACGTTCAATGCTTCAAGGCAGGAAACCTGAGGCGAGTCGGAGGTTTTTTGGCGCCTGCGGGAGATACGGCCTGAGCGCCAAACATGCGGCTCTGCTCATGTGGTGGCCGTAGTCCCCACCTGAAAAAAATGGCTGATCCAGTGATGTCCACTGAGTTCTGAACCATGGGGCCATGGGTCAAAATTACCCTCTGGTAAACTAACATAACTATGGAAAATCACCATTTTTCATGGGAAAATCCACTATAAATGGCCATTTTCAATAGCTATGTTAAATTACCAGAGGGTACCCCAATAATTGGATGGTTGATACTAAACTAGACATTCACATCTGTGGTCCCCATATATAGATGGTCTTCCATTTTGACAAACACATCCCCATGTTCTGAAAAAGTCTTGGCTTCCAGGCCTTCACCCTTGTTCTGTGTAAAGCGCCACTCCACCGAGCCAGCTTGGCTGGTGATAATGACCACCTCAGGGAGGGGCTGGAAGATGACCATCCGTAATCCACACGGCCTTCCAAACGTTTCTTGTCCAACAAATGGGGATTGAACCCCCCCGGATTTATGGCCCTTGAACATAGGGGAAAACGATGGAATCAACCACCTGAATTTTTGAAAACCCTATGTTCATACAAACTCAAAGGAGAAACTGGGGTAAATAGCTGAAAGGAAGGGGTATGGCTAAGGTCAAGGTCTCTTGACCGACTTCCAACTTCTCACCGTGGTGACTAGTGATCATGAATCAGATTGCATGCCAGATTTCAACTGTGCTTCAAGAGTAGAATGAAATACAGTACCCTCTGGTAATCTAACATGTCAATGAAGAAATTCCCGATTAGTTCGCTGTTTTTTTCCACATATATAGATGCCCCTTTAGTTCGATGATTTCCCAGGCATGTTTGATGACACTGGCCTTGCCGCCTTTCAGTAGACCGCCTTTGTACAAAGCTGACGTCACCCTCAAGGGCCCCAGCCTTAGCGTTGAAGATGTTGATGCCCAACATGGCCCGCATGGCCGGAAGATAGAAAATTCTGAGGCCCGAACGCACAAATATCAATCTGCTTCAGTTGTTCTTTGTCGTTCAGCTCCTCCAGGGTCTCTTTGCCCCTGGGACCAAGTCGTTCCGTACTGCCATGGCATACCCTCTTCCCAATGCACCATAAAATCCATGCAGCAAGGCTGCAATACGAAACGATCAAGGTTGAGGATCCATCTAGTTACATATCACTCCCCCGTGTTCTTTCCAAATCAGAGGTTCACAGCAATCTGTTCAAGGACGTGGCAGAATCAATCAGGGTCTACCAAACCCATGATACTCGGTGGCCCTGAGATCCAGACTCCATGAAGTAACCAGCATTCTGAATCAGGAGGTCGATTGGGCCCTTGGCATGACCACAAGACACTGCAGCTATGATAATAATATCATCATATCAATGGTTACATATATATATATATATATTCAGTTGTATGTATATTTATATATACGTATATACTCGACGCATATGCATATGGCATATGCATATGCATATACATATACATATACATGTACATATACATATTCATGTACATATTCATTTTCATATACATATACATACATTTACATATATGTATAATATGTGTATATATATAATGTGTGTGTGATCGTAGTACTATAATGATTTTCATAGCAATAATACAATAGTCGTAATCATGATGATCATCATCATCCACAAGAACCACAGTGCCCAATGATTTGACCCATCGCACCATGAAAACCACCGACAGGGATGGGCCGGGGCCATGTCTGAGGTTCCCCTCTCCAAGATCCTTCACCAGTTTTTGCATGGTGGCATTGTCCTGCACGTCGATGCCACTAATCACCTACAGGAGCGGCAGGGATCGGATTCACATTGGCTGGGATAAATTCATCATTACATACGTACGCATGTGCATGTGTACACATGTATGTATCCATGTATCGGTGGATGGATGGATGGATGGATGGATGGACGGATGGATGCATGTATGCATGTATACATGGTCATGTATGATGATGCATGATCACCTATGATGATGTATCTGTATGATTATGTATGATTACATGCATGTAGATATGGAGGTATGGATGTGTGGATGTATGTATCATTATGTATCCATGTATACACAGTGCATTATCCTGAAGATAGACTATAATCCATGTATCGAATATTCTCCACACAGGTGCAGCAGCTGTTGCATGAGCCACCTACGTCATCCAGTTGGTATGAGTCGTGTTTATTCAAGTTATGCCAGCCAAATGACTTTCATATGGAAGTTTCCTAAAATAGGGGTACCCCCAAAAGTCATCCATTTTAATAGGATTTTCCATTGTAAACCATCCATTTTGGGTAATTACCCCCATTGATGGAAACCCCCAAATAACGGTTCTTCTGAGAGGCGCACCTTACAACCAAGGCCCTCCAAGCCACCAGGTGCACCGCGGCACGTGCCGATGGTTTCTGCCTTAGCGCGGCTACGATTGAAATCTCTGTTTTGAAGCAATTGCACTTGGGGTTGTCTCAAAATGGGAGACAATGGGGAAAATGATGGGTAAGTAGCTGAACCACCAAAAAACTGTTCAGATCCTCATCGACTATTGACTTCCCAACATATGAAACCGAAGCAGACCCCAAAGTTAAAATATCTCTCTTGCCTTGCTGGCTCATACCAAGGGCCGGTATTGGCCGAGGATGCCATCTTACTTGACAAGACAAGAGCTGTTCTATGGCATAACTATAAAAATTATATCTGGCAAAAGAGAAGGAAACAAACAAAAAAAAACAAAAAAAAGTGAAATGACCGAAAGCGACACAAGCCCAGCAAGAGCCTCTGGCTAGTTGCACTTGAAATGCCCAGTGAAATAGGTCAGAGCTAATTCAAACACCCTCTTGACAAGCTTGAGGAAAGTTCGTACATATAATTAAGTTAGGCGTTTCCAATCTGCTTCCATTCACAGCGGAGCTTCGTTCAGCTGATCTTAGCGTACTTCCAGGACGTCTGCGGAAGGGGAAAATGTGATAAACATCTTGAGACAGCCCGTTTCCTATGAATGGTTGGTCTTTTTGCGCAGGGTGTTGAGGGGGCACTTTGCACACCTAAATTCACCATCATCACCGTCCAACTCCTCTGGCTTGGCTCTGGACCCCTTGTGCCATCAATTCCTTTGTAATGGCAAGGCCCAAGCCTGCTTTCGCTCTTCCATTGGAAGCCACCGTTCGAACACCAAACTTTCAAACCGAAACCATCATGGCGATGTATACAGAACCACACTGTCACCTTCGGACCATGAAAGGATACCTCAGGCTCAAGTGAAGAATATGTAAAATTTACAGTCTGTCAAGGGTCTTCCAATGGATTGTTTCCCCGGAAAGGAATGGGTAAGTGAAAAATGTCATCTTCAGAGTTGATACTACGAGTCGCGCCATGCTCAGTATGGTGGGCAACACTGACGCAGTGAGCACTTTTGCGATGAATTATGTGGTGCCCCAATAATAAATCATCCCCAATGTTACCATAGTTGGGTGGTCTAAACCACCCCCACATGGTGAGTTTCTTTTTGCCATATCAATCCACATAAACTTGAAACCTTGGGTCATCTGAATTCCATCCACGTCTGCACCTCTGCTACCTCCAACCACCAACACGCGTTTGCCTCAGACCAAGTTCGTACCACTGGTACTAAGAGGGGAATGAGATAATATGTTTTACAATGTTTTACATTGATTTTTATAATTTATAGCATTTTGAAGGGCTGATATTTACGAACTCTTTGGGGGGTGAACCCCACATTTCACCGTGGTTTTTGACATCGACAGTCGATGCCTCTTTTCGACCTTTCCAATCTCAGTTCCTTGCCTTTCAGCCAGGAGCCGTCATAAACTGTGTCAATGTCCAAGTATCGCCTGGCACCCCGGCGGCCCTGGACCTCACGGATGGGGAGTCTATCCGAGATTTTTTAACGATTTGAAACGTGTCTCTTGATGACTAAACTTGCTCCAGCCAAGGAGTTCCAAGATCATTTGAGCATGTTTCTGACTCTGTTCTGTGTTCTGAGTGCACTTCTCAAATAGTAGCCGGCTCAAATCGGCTCAACAAATCATCTCACTCAATAGCATGCGGAATTCCAAGGGAAGACTGAAATGAGTTAGACGCGGTGGCAAATCAACTCTAAGATGCCCTAAGTGTGACTTTGTAATGCAAGAGTGCTGTCAAAAAGCCAAACCCCAAAGTGCTACCAAGTTACTGGTTCTTCTCATCTTTCGCCCTCTGGAAGCGAGCCACCTGCAATACCAGCAATGATGGGCATGATGGGCCCCATGTTTTCCCAATTTCCTGCAGGCATCCTTTGCGCATCTGGCCCCACCTGGTCTGCCAGACTGTATTTGCGATCCTTTGGACTTTCAGCTCGAGCCTTGGGGACCAAGGCTAAGCGTTTCTGGCTGGGCTGTCATGAGCCAAACACCAGTCTGAGACTCACAACTCATAACTTTGATAAGTGCATTTTTGAATCTGTGTATGTGAAATTATATGAATATGTTGTTTGTACTTTCTCGCTCAGCTTCATACAGGCGTTGCCGCTACTGTCGAAACACCCATAGCCTCAATCACAGCTGGGCACTTCAGGAGATCTTAAGCGGGACGAGGTTGGTGTCTCATCTGTGCATCACCAACCATGTTGGGTCAAGATCACATGAGTGTCACTTTTGTGAAACCACAATTTCTCTGTTGAAATCATCCCCGAAATATGCCCCAAAAAACCTTGGAGCAATTCCAGACATTTTCCCCAAAACCCTCGGGAATTCAACATATTGGACCTATATAGTCATGGGAAAAAACATGTTGGGAATCGAGGAGTCGGCTGTAAGCATGGCTGCTGCAAAGGTTGCCAAGCCATGAGAGGAGACCTGCCGAGATGATGTGGAATGTTTAAGGGACATCTTTTTTCATGGAGAAATTTAGCATGAAAGGATGTTGCAGGATGATATCCATGCCTTTTTCCTGTAGGAAACAGGATGCAGTACATCAAACGCAGACAGAAAGATCATAAAAAGTGATTGGATATTCAAAACACATATCCCGAAGCCATCTATGTATAGGTCAAATGATCAGCCCTGAAAGATTGATTATTCAGTCTTGAACATAAAAAAAAACTGCAGGTCCAATGGTACCTCCATGACTTGTCCCTTCTATTTGTTGGTTGATAGGGGATCCGGATAATACTATTGGATTAATTATATTAAGATTCCAATGAAACCACTTAGTTTAACAAGTATCACCCAGAAACTTCGTGAAAATTGCCAGTAAGTATATAACATCATCATAGAACCCATAATCGCCGTCAAAAAAAACGAAAAACCATCTTACCAAATTCTTCCCAATATGACCCCCCCCCCCCAACCACCAAAAGAAAAACATCATCTTCCCATGCCTCCAACCGTTGCCCGTCCCGGCCCGTCCGGCCCGCCCCATTCCCCAGCGCGCCCCAAGGGCGCTGAAGGCATCGGGCACCACTCTCCTGGTTGACGCCAAAGACTGGCCTCGCTGACCTGACGTTGCAAACACAAAAGCTGGGATTCTGGAAAATATGGCATATTATATCAATATTATCATATATTTATCATATATTTATCATATATATAACCCACAAAACATGCGCTTCAAAACGGCGAGCGGGGACAATTAGGAAGAATTTAAGGGGTTTTGAACCACAAGACTTATCGGAACATTGTGATCATGAAACCACAACAGATTGGGGTTTATCTTGATTTATATAATTATAACTTAACTTAACCATCAAACAGGTGCTTGGACATGTGCAAAAATGATCATATGTGGGGATGGTCAAAGCCAGGGTAGTCTAGTGACCATCAATTTGGCATCTTGAATTTTTGTCCCATCGCCAGTTAAAGATGGCACGGATGATGCGTGGGTTTGCTGGTTGGCAGGTGGTTGAAGAGCAAAAAAGCAAAAATCATTGATAGAAAGAAATCATGGTTCAAGATAGTTGGCCCCTGATAATATTGCTGTTTGTTGCTGTTTGTATAACCCGAAATCTGCTTGGTTCCTTGCGTCAACCGAAACTTAACAGTTGATCGCACCTGTCAGAGGCGTCTGAGCAGAGCCAGTAAAGCATCGCCTGAGGCCTAGAGGAAGAGGATGATCCCTGAGATCCACTTGGCTCAGTGAAGGAAAATGTATAGGCAACGATGGCATTTACCATTCAGAATATGTTCGAATAATATTCGAATAATGTAGGGGAGCCCGGGAGCCCTCTAGATTCATGTTCCAGTTCCTTTCACGACTGATTCTTGATAACCAATCCCAAAGGGCATTGAAGACAGAGCCTCCGCTCGTCAAGAAATTCTCCTATCCAAGAAACCGGCACAAAAAAAGAACAGTCTGTGTGTAAGATTGTGTAAGTCTGAGCTTGTCCGAAATTGGCGGATACCCCTAAAATCCGATGGTTTTGGCACCTCATGTTCACCACGAAAATTTTCCAAACATTCGGAGTTCAATCCCCCCAAGAACAAAAAAAAGGCAGCTGCCGCTTCCGAGCCCCTGACCAAAGCCTCTGACAGCCAGGGCTGTGACAGCCAATGCAACCTCTGTGGGGCCAAGAGGGGCCAGGTAGTCACTGGTGGCCAGGGGCCCCAAAAAGCGGAAGCTATTCTTCGAGGCCCTGGCACTTCGCCGCGACCTTAAGGCAGGCGACATAATATATGGTGTTGTAATGCGCGGTAGAATTCCGCATTGTTCAGAAACACCTTGGAAGAGGTAGAAGGTCAGTGCCCCGTGAGCCAATTGCGGTCAAATCCTTGAAATTGGTCCATCCTCTCATTGTGTGCATCCAGTTCAGGGATCTTCAACAGGGAAAAAAAACCATCCACTGGTTCATCATCATTATCGTACAACTTTGTCTGAATATAGGGTAGATAATCCCAAATATAATTTTCCAAAACTAAAATGATCATATGTGTTCTTCATTTCTCTCCAATTTTCAGATCCACACCCAAATTTCACCCCTTGAAATCTTGAAATGGCTATATCCTAGGCGAAAAAAACACATCCTCCCCCCATTTTCAGATCACCAGCGGACGTCCATATCCGTTGGTCAGACCAAGGTACATGGTCCCAGCGCAGACCGCAAATGAGCCGCGACTTGAAAACTGTTTGAGCCGCGTGGCAGTGGGGGCAGTGAGGGCCACAAATTTGGGATTTAACATGATTTAACTACCAACAATGGTGGTATAATGGGATATAATGGGCATTTTTGATGAGAATGTAGAGAATGTATATATATATATAATTGGGAAAACAATTATTATCCTCTCCAATCAAATATCAAATGGCTGGCTGGGAAATTCCTGAACTAAATGGACATGTTTCATCGGCCGGGAAAATCATGGGAAACTCATTCGTGGATGGAGTTTCCAGCCATGTGTGATTACCAGAGGGTACAGAAAAATAATGAAAAAGAACAGTTGGTCTAGGCCAACTGTAGGCCTACTGGAAAAACACTGACAGTTTTGATGCTGGTTTCATCCAGGCAGGTCTCATTTTTTCTTTTCACCAAGGCCGATGTCTTGGCCGTGGCTTCGGCTATGGGTTTTGTACATTCGTGGCATGATGCCTCGCCTTCATGCGAGCATCATAGCGGTCACAGCATATTGGAGGACGAGAAGACACTGTCTGTGAAAAATGATCTTCGACTCAACATCGAAAAAAAAAAACAAACAAACGAACGCCAACCCAAAAACTATGAAGCGCAAACATCTACAATAAAATAAAAATGTTTATAGAATTTTATAGAGATCTGTACAGTAGCATTCTGTTCACGAAATGATGAAGTGAAGGCCTGAACTTCTTTGTTCCAACCTGCCTGCCTTCCACGACTTCCATGGCACTGGGCACTATGTCACTATGTGCTTTCAGTGGTTGTTGTCACCGTTGTGGTTACAACCTCAAAGCAATGCAAGACTGTGGACCTCTGTGGACCTGATGAAGGCTAGTGATTTCAAAAAATCACTGCTGTTTTGAATCCAAAGCTATTGATCCTTTCTGTCTCAGCTTGTAGAAGCTAAACAAGTGTTTGTCACATTTCGTCTTTTCATGGCCCACCCTCCCACCAAGTGCATTCTTTTTGGAAGGTTGGCCTTGAAACTCTGGTCGTGTTTGCGGCCTCTGTACATTCTAATTCCTGGGTTCTTTCAAACCCTTACTTTTGAAAAACTCTTCCAAAGGTAGGTCAGGCCACCTCCAGGAGCTTTGTCTCGAATGTCCTCTGACATGATCAGAGCTTCATTTCTTGCGCCCATTCTCTTGCTCAGGTGTTTCGTGATTGAAGGTGTGGGTGGGCGGGTGAAAAAGGGAAAAGACCTCCCAGAGAGTGTGGCTTGAGCCAAAATGGCAGTGCCACACTCACTGGGGGTTCCCACCCACCCTCCAATCACTCATGTGTCACACATGTTCGTCAGCAGTTTGCTTCTCAAACAAGTGTTTGTCACATTTCGTCTTTTCATGGCCCACCCTCCCACCAAGTGCATTCTTTTTGGAAGGTTGGCCTTGAAACTCTGGTCGTGTTTGCGGCCTCTGTACATTCTAATTCCTGGGTTCTTTCAAACCCTTACTTTTGAAAAACTCTTCCAAAGGTAGGTCAGGCCACCTCCAGGAGCTTTGTCTCGAATGTCCTCTGACATGATCAGAGCTTCATTTCTTGCGCCCATTCTCTTGCTCTCATGACTTTGTCGCGCTCTTCTCTTAGTTTGAAACATTTCTTGCATTTCTTTGCCATGAGGCTGGGCCTTTTTGTAAGCTCCACCTTGACGTTCTTTCTCGCGAAGTTCCATCCGCAAGCAGTTGTCCAGCTGTCAAGAGGGATGCCCCATGCTGCCTGTCCTACCAAGTGTTTGATGGATGTGCCCCTCGATTTCGAGACCGCATACACTTGTTCCTTCTCTTCATCGTGGACCAGAGGTTTGTGTTCCCTTTTCTTTTCGGGGGAATCTTCTTTCTTTGGCGACGCTCTCGCTTTGGGCTTGAGGGCTCTCCTTTGCTGTCGTTCTTGTTGAGCTTTCTGCTCTTCATCCAATTCCTTCGGCTCTCGGTTTGTGACGTTCATCGGCATCTCTGTCATCGCGTCTTCTATGTATCTGAATACAGCTGATGATTTCCACCTGCCCAAGAATTGGATGTGATGGATGCTTGTTCCCTCTCTGGCGTATGCCATTGCACCCGATCGTCTTGCGGAGTGACCAGTCGCTTTCTCGTCCACGTACTTTGTCCAGGCCGCCACCATGTGAATCTTTGACACTGCCTTCCCTTCTGCGTCAGGGAATAATGTACAATTGCCGTCTTTGGAATTTACCTCGTTCAAAGCTTTCACCGCTAATGCAAAGGGGCAGGCTCTGTTACAGGGGTCTTTTCCACAACACGCCAGTGTGCGCCACACTCCCGCGGCCTTTTGGTCAGTTTTCGACTTAGCTATGTATAGCTTGACATTCTTCGTCTTGAAGTCGATGTCGACATGCTTTGCCATCACTTGAGCTGCCTCAATGGCTCTCAGCATCCAGATGGCGGCCCAAGCGTATGACCAGGACGGCCGTTTTGGCTCTCCTTGCGCTTCCGTGGCTTCTTCCCATTTGTCGTCACTTATGTCTTGTACTCGTACTTCTTTGGCTCGTGTTTCTGGGCCCTTGTCTCTCTGCATTGCTCTTTTGCACGTGGTCATTTGGCGTTCTAGTCCAACTTCCCAGCCATGTCCGTCCTCAATGTGCATGGCTTTGGCTTCTGACAGATATTGATCTCCTGCTTTCATGCCTGTGGCATCCAAAATGGCTGCCAGGGTGGTGATCTTCTCCGGAGTGAGAGGGAGTTGGCCTTCTTCCATATTTTCCAAAATCTCCATGATCTTTTTGCGCTTCGTGTTCTTGGTGGCTAAGGTGGACTTCGAGTAGAACTTTTCGATGAAGCTCCTCTTTATCCTGCTGACCCACCCTCTGTTTTGCGTCATTTTTCCGACGTCCTTGATGGGGATCTTTTCCTCGCTTGGATTCTTCTGGGGGATCTTTTCCTCGCTCACAGCTTTTTGGGGCTGGCCGCTGCTATCATTGCGTTCAGGACTGATCTTCCGCTTCCCCCTGATGGGTTTGTTCTCATGTGCGCCTCTTGCATTCTTGACGACTCCGATTGCTTTCTCGCTGTCACTTCTGGGCCCCAAATTGAATTGCTCGATTGACTTGGTCCCCGTTCTGGTTCGGGAACTCGCATCTCTGTCAAACTGAGGTAGTTTTGGGGCCTTAGCTCGGTACGTGTAGGAGTCCCATGCTTTGGAGTTCCATGTTTGTGCACTTTCTGAGGCTCCTTCTGTGTTGTAGGTAGTTTCCAGCGGGGGACGAACACCTGTAATTCGATGAAGCAGTAGGCCTTGCATGCCATGCCGTAGATTTGGCCGCCCACCTTCATTCCTACCTGGCATAGCCGCGGCACACATGCTTGACAGAGCATTCCAGCCAGAAAAACGGTGCCCAGGATCAGCCATATCGCTAACGGAATGCTCGGTGGTCCTTCTCGTTCCGCCACTAATGGCTGCTGCACCGTTGCTACCTCCATGTTTGAGCCAGCTGAAAACACATGTCAAGCATCAGGAATTTTCAGTTTCATGAAAATCATGAGTGAATGAGTGAAACGACATGTACCTGCCTGAGAGTTCCGACCTACATGGTTGAATCAAATTCGACTGTTAAAGGTTAACTTTGGATGCTTGACCGACGTCCCTGATCAGCCTACTCTTTTGCCGGCTGGGAACGTCACAGCATGTCAAAGATCCCTTGAGGGTGTGGCAGGTTGGCTTTCCAAGGGCTGCCTTCCTCTCCAGGCGGTTTGGTGCCCATTCCTTTGTCTGCCAGCGCTGTCGTGCGTCGAATTTTGATGGTCTTGAGCACCTGTGGCACCTCTCCCCTCTGATGGGGTCGTGACAGCCAGTCAGCTTCTTTGTTGAGAGATCCCGGTATGTGTTGCGGGATCAGCTTCGGCACCTCCGCTTTCTCCAGTGCCAAAGCTAGCTCTGCTGCCAAATAGTTGAGGACCCTATTTGGTGAATCCAGTTTGCTGGACATTGCCAGCGCGACTGCACTGTCGGACCTGATGACCAGCGCCTTGCCTTGGAACTTCGGCAACCACAGTTGAACTGCTCGCAGAATGGCCAAACCTTCGAGCACCGCTTGTCCCGATGCCTCTCCATATTCAATGTCCAGGGCTTCGGCATGATGTTTCTGCACCAGTGCCTCGTAGGCTTCGACTGGGAGCCATTCGCCCGCCACTTTGTTGATGAGCAGGCCCCCGATGCCTTTGGGGGAAGCATCCGTCACAACTCCCCACACGGCCTCATGTTCAATCAACCTCTCTTTGCGGATCAACATGATGTCCGATACCTCGAAGACCGCTTTGAGCCAGGGGATGACGGTGCCCAAACGCTTCACGGCCACTAGGCCCATTTTGGGTCGTTTGTCTCCTTGCCGCTTCTGTGCTCTCTGTCTCTCTGTTGCCTCCTCTTTGATCGCTGCGGTGAGGACGGCATAAACTGATGTCACCGTCCATCTCAGTCTCGGCACAATGCCAGCTACCCACGAAAGGCGTCCAGCGAAAGACCGCAGTTCCTTGATTGGAATCATCCCTTTGTCATCCCAGTTTGCCATGGTGGTCTTTATCTCTTCTATCATTTTGGGTGGTGTTCCAATCAGGATGTGATGAGAGGTCAGTTCCATGGTGGTACCAATCCACTGCACTCTGCGCCCCCTCTCACCTTTGTGGGTAGCTACCTGCACTCCGAAGGCCGCCAACAGGCACAAGACCTTTGATACCTGCAGGTTCCGTTCTTCTTCAGGGCCTCTGATGGTCAGCAGAACATCATCTATGTAGATCTGGACCTGACCCGCTGCTGGATGAAATGTGCTTTGCAGTAGCCTCCCAATGGCTGCACTCAACCTTCCCATAATCAAGGGAGCCCCCTTGAAGCCGAAGAGCATTGCGCACCAAACTATGCCCGTCCCATTCTCCAAGCCTGGGCTCACCGCATGTTTCAGTTCCGTTGGGTGCAGTCCAAAATGACAGAAAGCATCCTGCAGGTCGATGAGCACAAATTCGACCTCTGAGCTTGCAAACCTTGAGGACGTCTTCAGTGCTGATCTCTGCGACTCCACGCCCGGCAACTCTGTCTCTCTCCTGCGCATCACCCGCAGCTGATTGACCACGTCTTGGGGTCGTGGCAGCACTATTCGTTCTGTCACGGTTGCTCTGTCATTGCCTTGCGACCTTCTCATATCGATCACTATCCTTCTCTTTGTTGATCCGTCAGGCTTCTGTTTCACAATCAACGCCAGTCGGCTTGCTGTGCCTGTCGGGTACTTCTTGTGGATCTCCTCCAACGCGACCACCTTACAAAGCCTTTTTTGACGTAGCGGTCGATTTCGATGGCCGCCTCTTGCTTCTGGGTCTCCACCGACTCGTAGTTCTTGAGGTTGGACAGGACGCGCATGTCTGTCCGCTCTTCCAGGACCTCGTCTGTCTCCACAGGCGGGAAGATGTTTGAGTCTGGGATGAGTTGATCCATCCCCAACGGGACCCCTTCCCTGGCCCACTGACCCAGGTATTGTTCTGGGTCTCTGGCCTTCATGCGCCATGCGTCCCACAGAAAGGAGTTCAGTGGGGACCTGAACTCAGTGTTGTCCTTCAGCGTGATGCCCTCTTGCTCGTTTACCTCCAGCAAATCTTCCAGCCTGGCAGTCCAGTTTCTGAGCACTTTGTCGTCGAACTTTGCCTCGCGTGATCCATAGTCCCTGGCTAGGTCTATGGCTTGTGGGAAGTCTGTCACAAAGCTTCTCCATGCTTTGTCTATCTGTTCTCCCACCTTCTGGACTTGGTGCAGTCGAGACACCGCCATCGCTGGGTTTCTCATGCCCCCAATCGCGAAGTCATTTTGCTCCTCCCTGGTTCTTTTCTTTGTGGGGCCCACTGAAGATGACGCCGTCACCTGCTCTTCTTCGGCATTTGCTTCTAATGCTTTTGATGGTACCTTTCTCTTCTTCTCCTGTGTGATGCTGTCTGCGATGACGGGCTTTGTCTCTTCATAGAGTCGCTTTCTCCTCTTGTCTTCGTTGTCAAGCCACTTCATCTGGAGCTCGTTTACCTCACTCGACTTGACACTCATTTGATATCTGAGCCACTCCAAGTTCAGGATCCTCTTCCACGTGTCCACCACCTTGATCGCCACTGCATCAGCTAGTTCTTCAGGATAAGCCCCTGCTGCTTCTGTGGCTGACTTCCCAATCAGCGGGACGTGTGTGACCCATTCAGGACATCGGCATACCTTTGCTAATGTGGCTAGTGATTCAAGCTTCCCTGCCCACTTGGCTGGCTTAAACCATCGCCTCCTCAGTTGCGACTGGTATGCACAAGTGTTGAACTCTGCCACCGAGGAGTTTGTCTCGTCCAGCACCTGCTTCAGTTCGGGCAAGTCCCAAGCTGACCCAGTGTTAATGGCACCTGGAGGGCTTTCCATGGTCGAAGCTTCTGGCAACGCCCTCCTCCTGAAGCTTTCGATTTGTTTCCTGTGCAACCATGCCGACCTCGTTGCCATCAATGTTCCTTCATCGGCCTCACGTTGTTGCTGCACCGTGTTGCCAGGAAGTCCATAAATATGGGCTGCACTCCTAACTGGACCTGGTCCGTGATCTGTGTCTCGCCACCGGACCCTCGAAAAGGATCCACAGGGAAACCCACTGTGGTAACCATCCCAATCTCCTTCTTCCACCGACTTGTCGATCTCGTCGTAAGTTGCCGGTGCGGCCAAGTTGATCTCCTTGTCCTTCTTCCGGTCCAAGCTCTCGACGTAGATCTCCAGCCTGGCTTTCTCCGCTGCCTTCTTCAGTGACACGGAGAGCTGGTCCTTCTCCCCTGAAAACAGGTGAAGATACCTGAATGGTCTATTCTTTCTGAATTCATCAAAGTTCTTGCTCTTTTCAAGGGCTCTTTTGACTCTGTCTGGAACCCATGGCCCAGTTGCTGAATGGGCTTCTCCGGAACCTGACGCCGTCACAGGCCCTGCCTCTTCACCAGGTTGATCTTTGTCGCCGCTGGGCCCTGCCTGTTTGCTCTCGGCGTTCTTCTTGTTCTGAACCGCCTCAACCTTGTCAGGCTTTCTCTTGTTCCGGGTTGTCTCCATTGTGTTGGGCTCCTTTGCCTCGTCCTCTGATGAACTTGACGAGCTGTCTCCAAAGTCGGCCGAACTCTCTGCCTCCTTTGCCGGTGTCTCCCCTGCTTCCTCCGCCATAACGCGGTGGGGGGCGACTTCCGCTTTTGGGCCCAAAATGTGTCATGCCTATCCATGTTATGGTGAAAGCACTGCAAGCTTTCACACTGACCAAACATGTTGACGTGTCACCTGTGAAAATGGACCTCACCTGTTTCATCAATGCAACCTATTTCAATCGTTTGAAGTTTCGTTTGTTTGTTCAAGTTGTTTCCAAAATTTTGTCAAAACTTGCACAACAAAATCAAACAGATCAAAATGAAAAACGAACTTTCTCTTCACCGGCCTCTGCTTCGACTTCCGGACTTCTGCTGGGCCACGGCTTAGCCAGCCCTGCACTCAGAGTCCCTGTGAGACGGCGACAGGCAGAGTCTGCACTTATGCACTCGCTTTACGACTGCTTTGCACTCCCCGCCCGGTGGTATGTCTGCGCAGCTGCCCTTGTTTGAAGCCCTGCTGAAGCAGATTTCCTGCCCCGACTGGTCTTTGCTCTTGCCTTTGCCTTTGCCCTTGCTGTTGGGGGCACCTTTACTTTGGCTGGTACCCGACGATCTGTGTCTCGCCAGCTCCTCTCTGTCAGCCTGCCATTTTCGCTTGCGGGCTTGTCTCTTGTCCCTGTTTGCCTGGGTCCTTCTGCCATCTGAGGTTGCCACTGTCGCATCTTGGTCAGCCTGCATGGCTTTGTGGCCTCCTTGGATGACGTCCAGCACCGCTGCCTCGCTGGCCACAGTTGGGGCGCCCCTTCCCCCTGCAGCTGTCCAGGCTGCTGCAGGGTGGTGCACTCTCTCCGTCCAGTAATCTGTGTCTGCAGCTAGTTGGATGAAGATGCACGACCACGGTCTGATGGGGTCCCAATCGCGTGGAACTTGTCTTCCTTGTCCTGCATCGATGGTGAATCTTCGACGCAACTTCTCCAGCCTCTCTGCTCTGGCTGAATCGTCGGCTGTATAGATCAGCCCCCATGTCTTCGGCCACTGCACCATGAGCTTCTCTATCTGGCGAGAATAGGCCTCCAAAGCTGCTATCGAACAGATGTTCAACATCAGGCAAGCTGTGCGAAAAACATGCCATGAGGCCTTCCAAGCTGAATGTGTGCCCGGACCTGGCAAGTCCTTCTGCAGAAATGTTCCGTCCCCTAAAGGGGTGTATACCCTGCACTTCTGAATCCTGCTCATTCGTCTCTCTAGAGGTACCCACACTGAAAAGTCGCAGTAGGGAGGACGGTTCTCTATGAACACTCTTTTATGGAGTGCAGCCAGTTGGTTCGCCGTGGGCTCTTCTGTCTCATCCGGCTGCGACCCCATAGTTACAATGTAGTTCTGATACCATCGATCTACATCAGCTGGAGATGGAGGTAAAAGTTCTGAATCATCATGTTGATCAATCAGTGCATTCATTTTCAAAACTCTTTCCTTTACTCCGCTGCTCCCTGAGGCTCTCTGTTGCTGTTCACCTCTGGGATCATTGTCTCTCGACTGCTGCTCCATCCAAGGGTCCACGTCTATGAAGTTTTCCTCGGTCACGTTGGATCTCGCAGCCATTATCCTTTTGGCCAAACGCCATACCAATCCCACCTGAGTAGCCTCAATAGGGGAAAACGGCCCATTGTCTGTAAGTGCGTTGTTGCACCCTGTCACCAAGGCCACCTGTGGTAAAGACGCCAATAGCCGCAAATCACTGCCAGGGCTTCCGACTTGACGCTCAAATGCGCGCCAAATGGCTTCGTCCACTCGAAAGTGGTCCAAAACGTCGTCCACTGTCTGAAACCGGCCCATATCGGCCCAAGGTCCAAACAGAGCTGCCATGGCTACTCGCGGTTGGCTACACTTCTCGATTTGTGTGTGTCATCCTACTCTCTGAAAAAGGGAAAAGACCTCCCAGAGAGTGTGGCTTGAGCCAAAATGGCAGTGCCACACTCACTGGGGGTTCCCACCCACCCTCCAATCACTCATGTGTCACACATGTTCGTCAGCAGTTTGCTTCTCAAGAGAATTCTCTTAGCATGCCCAGCCAATGGTACAAATACCAGCCAAGTCGCGGTAGTTTTTGTTGTCCTTTTCCCTGCTTGTGGCAAATCGTCTGTTTTGCTATCCTGGGCAGAAACTTTCCCCTTTGCTAGGTTTCAATACCACAAGCTGCAGTCGTGTCTATCAGGATAACTCAGTATATATAGATGTGTAAAATTTCATTAAAAAAAATCATAGATTTTCTGTATGTCTGTTCTTGCAAGGTTCGATGTTCAAACCAAGACCTCGTATCACATAGATCGGGAAGAAACTGACACCCAAGACACAAAGTAACCAAGGATTCTTGGATTCAGTGATGGTCCTGATGGTTCATCTTCTCTGCATGTTGCCGTTATCCAGCCGTGCGAGCAATCTGCATCACATCAAACTTTGAACTTTCTACAGTCAATGACAATACATTGCTACCCAGTAGTGTGGTTGCAGATGGTGTAGATTCTCCACATCCTGCCTCCGCTCACTCCTGAATGTCTGATGAATTCTGACACCCGGAAGCTATCGGAAGCTGCAGCCCCACCTTGAAACCAGGTTTCTTCCTTCTGCGCACTGACTTGCCGGGACCCTCCTGAGCCGATGGACACGAAAGGCTGTCCCGGCTGTCCCTGTCCTGGTTTCCGCAGATGTGGATCTGGGGTCGTGCACGGTGATGGAAATCCAATAAGGATGGCTCAACCTTAGGGTTTCCACGGCGACTTCTGCAGGGAAGCTGAGATCCACTGACTCAGTGTTTCAGCCAAACCCGGCATGGCTGCCGTCACCTGGGCCCGCACCCATCATGCACCCACTCTGGGAAGAGGGGTTGGACAGTATGCTGCACCGCAACCCAGTCTCCACCTTGGCAATGAGCATCGGCATACCATTTCTTGCCATCACTGATATTTCAAAAGCATTAGGAATCACGGAATCACCCAACATAACCAACATCATTTACAATCAGGTATGTAGTTATATAATATATAATTATATATATATACCGTAATTATATATGATTATGTATGTAGATTTAATGATGCGCATCATCGTACTTCCATGTACTTCCTATCCCTGAGCTATCTGCACTGTTATGAACTGATAGATTCTCCAAGGAACGCATGGCGGTCTCAACATTCGCGACGTCCGCTTTGATACGCTCGGAGGCAAATTCAAGCGCCTCGTGGAACCGGCTTTGTGCTGGCAGTGACACCAACAGCCATCGGTTGCGTATGAGTCAGTAACATTCGGAAATCGTGTCAGAATGTATTAGATATATTTAGATTCAGATATGAAGTTTCCTTGCGGGAACGAAGATCATCGAATATCCACTATCATCCAAATTTACATCCATTTCCGAGCCACTTTACCGATACCTGGGGATTCCATGCATTGCACCAGAGGAGGGTTGGAACCCACAGGATCGAAAAACGCTGAGGTGTGGACGTGGACGTTCTGGTCCATGGCCTCCCAGTTTGATTTCTGATTTGACCAGCTCCCTTAAGCAACAGCTATCCTGGGATATCCTGGGAACCGATTGACCCCATGAATTTGGCAATGGAAGAAATCACGGAAACTGATGATCAACCATGAGATTTATTTCCAGGCAAGACTTTGACATGCTCTTGGGACGGATCATCTCGGTTTTGCTACAGCCAATCCACTGAGCTCAAGACAATCTGCAACAGTTCTTCATCATCACGAAGCTCAACTGAAGCCATGCTCCACGCCTTGAGAATGGCACAGAATTTCTGAGACCATCGGATGTTGGAACGCAGCTGTACCCGACCTGCCAGTTTTGCTTCACCGCCTCCAGGATCACCTCCCTGTCAGCCATCAACTCTGGCCTGAGGTATACCCTGACCCTACAGGAGCAATGAATCAATATGAATCAGCTTGCCACCTGTTGAGACTAAAATGGGGCTACCCCCAAATCATCCCAAATTATATAGACATATATAGACCGTTTTAGTATTGAAACCTATGGGTTTTGGGATGTTTTGGGGATCCCAAAAAAATTTAAGAAACTCTTTGATTCAGCCTCAACTCTGAGCTGAACGTCTTGGCAAGTCTGGAACCTTCTGGATCCTTCTGGACGACCACAACCATGGAACAGCCCTGATTTTCTATGCCACTCGGATCTGATTTTGTATGATTTTGTATGCTTATATAACCTTACATCCAAAAGCCCTATGTCAAAAAGTTGGGTATGACCCATTTCTATATCATCCTATTAACCAACGATCATCCAACTATGATCCAATTTATCCAACATCTGGGGATGTCCCATTCCTTCCAGTGAAATTTGAGTAGCTGTGCTCCCGGGCGGCAGAAGCTTCAGTGCCTCTGGGTTTTGGCCTCACCATTCCATTGGTTCAATCGTTCCAATCGTTGGTAAGCATCATTGGTTACTACATTGGTGTTTCTTGTTACTATTTGTGTAAGCAATTAGTGGTTCTTCTTTGTTGGTCTTTTGTTTCACGTTGATGATTGTCGATGCAATTTGATTATGATATCAAAAACTAGCAATCATGCGTGCTAATTGTTGATAATCATCACAGATCTGAGCAACGAAATCCACTGGTGGCCTGGTGGGCCATCTATCAACTGGGCTGCTGGCGTGTAGCCATCATGGCAAACTCCTTGTCACTGCGCAGGGCAGGGTCCATGATCTCTAGGGCCTTCCAGCCTTGGTCATGGAGGATGGGGGACACAAAATATGCTGTCTCTGAAGACATCCGGTTGAATCGCTCATGCATTGATTTTTGGATATATATATATATATAAATATGTTGATGTTTTGAGACACTGTTACAATATTCATCAATATTCCGTTCCGAAGGCTTTCATTGAAATCAGGCGCTGACTTTGCTGAAGCGCGGCTTTCGCCAGCTCTCGATCAGCTCTCAATCTGGCCCAGATTTAAGCACTGTGCCTTTCTTCAATCTGCATGGCGCAAAATCTAGGCCATTTCTGGCGATGAGGTGTTCATCTTGGCTGGTAAAGTGTAGTAAACGTGCCACGGCGACTCGGCAGAACAGAATTTCAGCGCACACCAGCTGTCTGCCTCAGCCCCATTCCATTTCCCATGGTTGATCAGCATGTTTCCTACTAAATGCTTGCCAAAAAATGGATACCCTCTGGGAATTTATGGTAACTTAGTATAGCTCCGGAAAATCACCATTTTAGTAGGCTAATGATGGGTCCTTTTCCACAGCTTTGTTAAGTTACTAGAGGGTATACCCCGCTTCTGGACTCCCCAAAGTTCACAGAGCAACTTCATGCACCTTCTAAGTCTCGCGCAACAGCATCATGCGCAAGACTGCGATTGGCACGGAGTTTGTCCGGCAGACATGCAAAGGCCTCAGCTAAAATTGGCCTTTTGGTGGGGCATCCGCGGGATTTCCCCATGTTTTGGCAACTTGAAGGGCCACAAGGGCCAGCGCTAAATCACTTGCATAAAGTGGATCCGCAGTCAAAAATTGGTGGTCCAAAAAACCAAGAAGCCTTGGAAAATGCTTCAGACTCCACCAAAATTTGGCAGAATTGGATCGGATAGCTCCTACCCAAAACTGGATGGTCAGCACTACACTTGCCCCTCCAAATGAGGCCATTCATCCCAACTCACATCCATTTAAGACATCATTTTAAAATAGTTAAAATATGTTAATGGATTTGAAGGGATGTTAATGGATTTTATCCATTTTAATTGGATGTTTCATGTTTTTTGCCGCCATCTTCATGGGAAAACATCCCTTGAAATCTGCGAAAACCCGCTGATCTCCTGGGCGGCCCAACATGCCAGGTATGTTTCACCGCCGCCTCAGCCAGCTCCAAGTCGTAGAGCAGCTTTTTGGCCTTGGATCATTTGGTAGAGAAGCTTGATTTAATGTGGTTAAAGGTGGTATGTTTACCATTCCCAAATGGCTAGTTGATTAGTGTTTTAACCACAAAACACAGCGTAAATCATGGATTCATAACGGTAAATCATGGTAAATGTATGGCAAATCAAGGGATTTAGATGGGTAAATGATGGTAAATGTATGGTAAAGAATGGTGATTTGTTCCATTTTGTTCCATTCAATTCTGAGATGTTCCGTGAAAACCCGGATCACCCAATTCGACCCTTGGGGTCGCTCCGCTCCCTTCATCCCTGCAGCTGAGGCACCACAAATTGCATGGCCCTCCAGTCTTGCTTCACCGCGGTGAGGCAAATGAAGTGATCCTCATGCAGCTCCTTGGGAAGAAATCGAAGCAACGCAGCAACGATGTTTTTTTCAAAAGAGCGGCTGAGGCATTTGTTGCTTCATGTTGGTTCTGTAGGCACTATCTTCTTGGTTACTGTAATCATGATCCCAAAGTGGGATGGAATATGAAAAACATGAAACGACCAACAGCCGTTGAGACCACTTTTGCCTAGTTTCAGTTCAGAACCGCGGGAAAACCAAGAAATTGCCTTTCCAAAATGATCTCCCAAAAAGGAGCAGCTGGCTTAGCCTATCACATATCACATATTGGTCCTGCCATACTATTCCACCATATTCCACCATATTCCACCGTATAGCCACCATATAGCCACCATATTCCACCAATACTACTGTATTTTGGCTTCCACTGCACCCGCGCGCATGTCCAAATTCTCCAAGCAACTTTGGCAGCATATCGGAGAGCCAATCCACCAAGACCTCACGCGAATTTTCCGTCGATCAATGGCACCACCAAACCTCTGGCGAGTGCCTGATGTTTGTTGGTTTATTGTTGGTTTATTGTGGAGTTTGGTAAATGATTTCAAGACATCAATATGGATAATCAATATGTTTCAAATGATGTTAATGATTGTTAATGATTGTTCATGTGTCTTTGCATGTCTTTGCTGCATTCATGATCTGGATATATCATCCCTCATCAATTAGTTTACCCCTCAACATCGTTGGGGGTCTTGGTCACAACTCGTTGGTGATCTCCAAGGCATCCCGGCGACACGCTTCCAGAACCAGTCGCTCGTTGCTCAACAGATCCTGCAGGTCATTGGTGGAGTCATCTGTCCCTGATTCTCATTGATGATGTCACTTTGGCAAATCGAAAACATGGCAAAACATGGCAAAACCATGGCAAAACCATGGCAAACCATGGCAAAACATGGCAAAACCATGGCAAAACATGGCAAAACCATGGCAAAACATGGCAAAACCATGGCGAAACATGCCAAAACCATGGCAAAACCATGGCAAAACCATCAACACCCTAGGACCGCTTTCTGAATCACTTCACAGAAAACCTGGTTTGCCAGGCTTGCTCTGTGTTGAAAACAGGTCCTTGTCTGCATAGCCCAAGGCCAACCAGCTGGATTTCTCCATACATTCACCTGGCAAGTCATAATGATGCGGTGGATGGAAGAAATCCTGCACCAGGTGATAGGTGGTTTACACATGTTTATACCATTATTTACCCGTATTTCTAGAGGTTCAACCATCCAAAAAAAGTGACTGCAGGATTTCTTTCATCCAAACATGATCAAACATGATCCGGTCAAGTCATGTCCAAATAATTGCGGATCCCCAATGGGGTCTGAGTAGCATCACAACTTTTTGGACACAGTGCATGATTTCCGGCTGATTTGTTCATGGTCGAATCGGACTCCAGCTCCAGGTTGGACTTGGTCTCCGCACGAATAAAGTCCTCATCTTCACCTGGTCGGGCTCGCAGTTACAGAGTTTCATCATGTTTCAGCCATGCCAACAATGCCAAGGGACGAAGTTCAATGTCCGCATACTTCAGACTTTGAACGTGTGCTTGTGCAGCCTGCCCCGGTTGTGAACAGAAGCAACTTGGAACTTTGAACTTTTGGCTTCACAAAGGCACAAAGCTGAAGTCGTTTCCCAGTTTCTGGCAAAATGCCGCCTGAGGTAAGATTAAACCAAAGATCAGCTGTTCTATGCTGTTCTCATATTCTCATCTGGGTCCATGTTCAAGCCCAAACGAAGGATTTGATGTTTCTGTTTTCCATTGATCTTAGGTACAAAAGTAGTCAGCAAAGTTTATCCAAGATGTTGGTGTTCCCATGGATCCAATATGATCCAATCATCCTGTCAAAAGACTCTGCAACAACTATCGCTCTGCGTGGCAGGAACTCAGAGAAAAAAAGAAAAACATCATGGCAGCACAAGCGCAGCACAAGCGCAGCACAAGCATCTCAGTTCTCAAAACTCGATTCTAATGGTTCCTATCACTGAGTCAAGTTGGATCAATGCTATCTAACCATGCTCCAGTCCTAAAGTGTACCGGGCGGTCGCTGTTCAGTGGAATCAACATGGCTGGGAAATCCCCGAAGTACAGTAAATGAACATCTAAATACATGGGAAAATCATCGAAAGAGGGGGGATTTTCCAGCTAGCCATGTTTGATTTGAGGGTACCCCAACAAAATGGGTCGCCATCGTCCTGCAATGGCCACCGCCTCAACCATGAAGTCCCTCTCCCGGTAAAAGGACTCATCCACATACTTCAACGCCTGCAATGGATACATCATGATCGCCATGGGATTTGGCATTTTGCGACAACCCCAATGACCTTGCCACCTATGGGACCTATGGGACCTATGGGACCTGTGGCTGAACGGCATGCTGAATCCACCTCTCCGAAACTGTTGGCGCAAGCGAGGAGAATCATCTCTTTGTCCTGCCAGCCCCAAGTCTGATCAGGCTACGCCTGATCAACCTACAATGGTCATGCAGAATCCGGAGCAATGCTGTGCTCTCCTCTTTGAGTTCAACGGAGCAATGCTGCAGTGCCAAACCAGATTGATTGATGGCACAAAGCCTCCGCAGTTGCCACATGTCTGTGGTACACCAGTTGGCCCCAGTTCATCCCCAGTTCTTCTGTTCGCAAAGCACTGCAAGAAGTATATACATAAGTAATCATAAGTATACTATGTCAATCTATGTCATACTAAGGGTGCGGCGCCACCTCTCTGTTGTCCTGGCATTCTTGTGATATGACAAGCAGTCGTGAATGTTTCGACCCGTCGGACCAGTCCTTGACCTCTGGTGGAGCAAACTCCAGAGCGAACCATTCCTGGCGATGGGCCAAGGGGAGAAAAGAAGTCGAGGGCCCCAGGGCCTCTGCCAATCGCTAATTTTCTCACGATGAACATAGCAGAAAAACATAGCATTCTACATAGCATTCTACAGTCTCCTTGTCCTATAGTTTTTGTTGATGTGTCAAGTTTGCCCTCGAATTCAACAACCAAAATGGAAAAGACATCACTTTCAGTTCAGCCAGCTGAAACTCACTCTGAGGGCGGCACTCGCTCAACCTTCTGCTCCCAAGTCAATTTCTTCGCTTCTTCCATCTCCTCGCAGGCAACAGCATAATTTCTTCGTATCCATGTTCTTGTTGGGTGCACCAGAAAAAGAAATGGTGCAACATGTGCAAGTCCTTGTACAAGAGCTGCAGGCGCTCTTCTTCTTTGAACTTTTCTTTGCGCTTCTTTTTTCTCTCTTTTTCTCTGCGGTCATGCTCTCTTTTCTGCTTCTCCTGTGCGAAAAAATGGATTCCACTCGGCTGATCAAGGCGCGATGCAAGAAATCCCAGCCTCCTCAACTTCAGCTTGCGCTTTGGCCTGTTGCCGCTCGAGTATTTAGCCAGCCCAGAATGGAGCTCAAAAAAGGACAACTCTGAAGGCTACGCTGCGCAACTGGTGAAGAAGTGTAAAACTTTATGCACTGGGGTGGTCATACCATCTTGCATCTTCAAATGGTCCAAACACTGTGCAAAAAGGAAGTCGGCAACCCTTCTCAATAGTTTCATGCTGTCATGATTACATGCTATGATCATTTAATGTCACAAACATCATATCATCGTTACATGTGTGATTATGATAATCACTGTCAGTACTGTCATCATAACTATTCTTTAGCTAATGTGAACCCGTATGAATAATTGCGCCACTATCATTTACATCTGTTATACCTATGTATAACCATCTTATACAATTATCACCAAAAATATTGTCCTTAACAATCTATCACTGTACCATATATATATATACAACTATTATTCAATATATGATGTTTAACAATACCATCATATATACCGTAATATACTCTGCGGAAATCAGAAAAACACCTTGCGCTCGGCCAGCTGCCGACGTGCTTCCATCGCCGACATGGCTGCGCGATTAGCGGCCACAGCCGCTGCGAGGAACGCTGCGGTGTCTCTGAGGACGTGTTGAAAACAAAAATGTTCAACATAGTTCATAAAGTTGTACATAGAATATAATTGGATACAATTGGATATTATATATATGTGCATATATATATATACATAAGAGAAATAAGAGAATAATGAATAGTATGACAGTCTTGTTGGGTTCGGACACCTTTTTGTCCACTTCGCGCTAAAAATGCCTTCAGAATGAATCCCAATGCTATGCCGCAATGACATGTTCAAATTGGATGACAAGCTCCCCCTTTGTCAGCATGACAAAAATTGGAGAAGCAAAAATCCAAGAAACTTACAGCTGTTCACCAGCCAAAATTCGGCCAAAATGTTCGATAGGCCCAAGGCATTCTATGTGTTTCTGCGGCTCTTCATCTTATAATATTCTGCTCTCATCTTTTCGGATCCCCAACCCTTGTCTCGGTTGGCACGCTGAAACTCATTCCATGGATTATAAGACGATGCCGCAGTTGAAACAACCCTTCCTACACTACGAGGCTCTGACATCTCATCTCCAATCGCTGCCCTACTGGACTCAGCTGCCAATGCTACGCCCGATCGTCGAGTCATACCCAATGTTGAAGTGCTCTGCTCTTGGGAGCCCGACTGTGAAGTGCTTTGGTTCGATGTAGATGCTTGAAAGCCCGAGTGTGGCACGCTCCGCAAAGTCAAAGATGCTGCAGAGCCCGACTGTGGTGTGCTCTGCAAAGTCATAGATGCTGCAGAGCCCGATCGTGGCATGCTCTGCAAAGTCATAGTCGCAGACACATCCATGCTCGAAGTTGCTCCATGCGAGCCCGATTGTGTCCTCATTCTTTGTGTCTCGCTATCACCAGCTTCCTCTCCGAAAACTCGTCTTCGCAAATGTTGAGCAGAGATTTCACTGGATCCAGCTGACATTTCTTCTTCTGATGTTTCATACCCCACAGTCGTTGAAGTGCTAGCCAACGCTTCACTACGGACTTGGCTGCCCGATGCCCACAATCTTCTCATACAGCAATGAACACCTTTGGCCATCAGCTGCATCACGTAGATTGCTCCCATCACCATCAGGATTATGCCAGTCGTCCATAGCGCCGTCAGATCTTCATCACCGACTGCAGTTGCATTTGACATCGCTTTCGCATGCTGCATCAACACGCTACCTACTGTCAAGACCTTGACAGCCACACCTGTTGCCATCGTAGTTGATGTTGTCACCGCTTTCTCTTTCTCCACTGGCTTGTCAGCAAGCTGCTTGCAAAGCCCAAGGTCTTCGCAAAAACGATCAAAACTTTGGCCCAAAAGTTGCTTTGTGAGGCCATCAGCCACAAGTTCAGAGCCTTTCAAATGGACTAATCGCCAAACTCCCCCGGGAACTGAGCATGACTCCTCCATGGCCTCTTTAAGGATCGACGCTCTGATCCTCAAATGTCTGGTCCTCCACGATGAGCATGTGTTGCCATGTGCAAGGCCGATCGCCGCCATGTTGTCCCCGTAAATCACACAGGTGAATGGGTTATTGTCCAAAGGCTCCCCCCACATCGCACATAGCAAAGCTTCCGTTGCCCTTCCAATCAACAAACTTTCACAATATGCCACCAGCTCTGATTCCGCAGTGCTATGTGTTGCAAAAGCCTGTTGAGAGCTCTGCCAAGCTATGGGGCTTCCACCAAAAAACACCGCCACCCCTTGTATGCTGCGATGTGAGGTCCCCGCAGCATAGGAGATGTCAGAGAAGATCTCGATGCTTCGATGGTTCCTTTGGATCTTCAATTGGCCCCTCTCGCCCCATCCATCATTGGGCAAGTCCCTGAAGTAGTGAAGATCTCCAGGGTTTGAGCTGATGTACTTGAGGAGTGCTTGACCAACTTCTAAGGCCTTTTGTGCATTTCTTGTCATAAGCCTACTCATGGTTGCCACTCCATAGGCCAAATCCGGCCTCGTCTTCGTAGACAGCCATAACAGTCCACCTGCTAAGGCCTGAGCTTCTTTCAAAACTGCCACATCCGCTACCTCCACCGCCTCAAAGTCAGACTCTGAGAGCTTGAACATTGGAAAATCTGACTTGCCGGTGACCTTCCATCTTTCCAGCAACTCCTTTTCGTACCCCTTTTGAGCGAGGTGAAGCCCATTGCCAGCGCTATCCATGGTGATTTCCATTCCGCAAAACTTCAAAGGTGTAGTTTCCGTGGCCCACTCCGCAGCAGCACAAGACCATGTTGCTTCTACCGCTTTCAAAGCTTGGCACAACACCTCCTCCTCACCGCAGAAAAGAAGATCATCAACATAGACGCAAAGCAATCCACACCAACGTTGTTCAAGGTCAGGACCAGTTTCCATCAAGCGCCACAAATTGTCATCTTGAGTTCTTAAAAACCGACCAGTGACTTCTATCCCATCCTTGTTGATGCGCTTCCTAGACAGTTGTGGTAGAGTTGTATCTCTACAAATCCCCCAGTCCTTTGGACTCGTTGTCAACCCATACAGGGCCATTTCTACCAGCCACACATCAGAGTCCTTGGCCAGGTTCAACTTCTTGAAGACCGTGGGGATTGACATGGCCACCAACTTTGTTTCATCCCTCCTTTTGGCATTCAAAAAGGCTGTTCGGATATCAGTCCCCATCACCCGCCAGTTGAACATCGCAGCAGTTTTCAGGGCCGTACGCACCTGAGTGCCATCAGTGCCTCCAGCATAGACATCCTGCTCCGTCGCTGTTGCATAGTTTCCACAAATAACTGCCCTGCTACGATAAGCACCAGACTGTGCCTTTCGGGTATGGACCATCTTTACAGGGAGTAATTCTATTTCTACCCCAGCTTTGGCTGCTCTTTCTCGCAGTTGTTGTTGAGACATTTGGATGACAGCCTTTTTCTGATGAACCAACTGATCATATTCAGCTCTGATTGAAGGCTCCCAGTCGGCCAAAGATTCCCATACCTCCTTGTTACTCACAGTTTTCGTGACCAAGAACTGGTTTTCTATGGCCTTTGTTGCTGCCTCCTCTTTGTGCTGCTCAAGTTGATGAAGTTCCTCCTCAACCGCAACCTTTTTGACCAGCACCTCTGACAAAACTGGCAACCACCATGCTTGATCAGCTGTTGTTGCATCCACCATGCTCATCTCTTCGTTCACCAGCTCGGACAAGTTGCCATGCATCTTTCTCAGGAAACCTTCTTTGCTATTTGAGGCGGCTGGGCTTGAGCCACCGCACCAGCTCTTAGGCGCCCCCTCCACATCCCCACCACTGAGATCCTCCTCCTCCGATGACCCCGATGTTGAGTACACAGAAGATTGCAAGGTTTCCAATGTCCAGCTGCTTTCATCGCTGTCTCTTTCTGAGGATGAAATAGATACCCGTCCAAGATTTTCAAAACGATTTGCAAAACTGTTCCCATCCATCTCCGCATTACCCTGCCTCTCCCCCTCAATGGTTTCCATTGACAGACGATGTAACATCGCCGGTGCCGTCTTTTGTCTCAACCTTCGTGATGTGCCATGCCAGCGCCACTTGGTCTGGATTGCTCATCACGCTCTGGCAAGTAGATGTCAGGGGCACCATGGGGATCTGGTAGCGGAGCTGCTTCTGCTGCAGCATGTGGATCATCTTGTTGTTGATCTTGAAGAACATCAGCATTGGCCTCAAAGTTTGGCACGATGACATCATCAGTGAAGAAGTAGCGCCCAGATTCAACTGCTTGCACAAAGTAGTTTGTAGTGCTCAGAGTGCTGCAAGCATCTGGGCCCAAGACAACGACTGGCTCCCTAATGTCCCGCCATTGCTCATATCGATGATGCCACCATTTTCGCAGTGCGTAGGCCTGAGATCCAAACTGCAGCAAATCACCAACTGGATAGCCAAGTGCTCGTAGTTGAGAACGCAGCTTTCTCTCGCCCACATGCTTTGCTGCCAGTGGCCACCAATTCACGTTGTGACCCCCCGCGGACAAAACCGTCCTTGTAGCTCGCTTTATTTGACCAAGGGCACATTCGCATCTTCCGTTGGCCTTATAGTTATCCCCACTGGTTTTTGTGATCACAATGTCCCTGGCTTGTGCCCATCTTCGCACTGGCAGTGAGGTAAATTCTCTGGCCCTGTCGCTATGCAGACGCATCACTGGGAGACCAAGCTGTCGAAGTCGACTGTAGATGCGAGCTATTGCTGGCAAGATGTGGTGGGCGTTTCTGCTTTCCACCACCTCAACCATTGTGACATTCTTCACTGCCACATTCTTTGACTCTTCCACCAACTTGTTCCATGCATCCAGACATCCATTCGTTGCAGCTTCCGCCAAGTGGCCTCCATCTTCACCTTCTCCACATATTTCCTCATCCTCGCTTTCCTGGAGTGGATCTTCTTGTTGATCGTCATCAATGACTTCATCCTCCCCCGGGAAAGCATCTGGATCAGGAAGTGGGTGATCTTGTTGATCGTCTGCCAGAAGGGATCGGCCTTGCTTGGTGACCGGAAACGTGTAGACCGCCACCATCATGTAGCTGCAGTGCCTGCGTTCTTGATTGATTCCAGAGGATAGTTTTCCACTCAAGTCCACTGCCAACGTGTAGGCCTCAGGATGAAGAATCCGTCTGTGAGGCTTGCCACGGGCTTGAGAACGTACGCAGTGCTGACAATCTCGTCGGGCAGGCATGTGGTCATTCAGGTAGTGGTCTTTCCACTTCTGTAGTGCTGCTGCTCCCAATGGTTTTAGTTTTGGAACTTGTTGCTCAGGTTGCACGGAATCAGGTTCTTGTCGAACTTGAGAAGGTGGATCACTCAGTAGCTGTCGAAGATGTTGGTCTTGAAGTCGTTGCCGCAACGCCACCACAATGGCTGCTTTCAAGCCCTGAGACCACTCTGCCCATGTTCGAGATTCAGCGCACTTTTCAGCCATAGTCATGCTTTTGCGCCCATCATCCCCGCCCATGTCAAAGCTGACCTCACATCGAAGACCATCCAACTGAGTGAGCTCCTGCCCCACCAAAGCCAGTGTTGTCGGCTTTCGTTTTTTGTGGCCTGTTTGGCCCTGATCAAAGTGAACCATCACCACATCAAATCGCTGTTGAAACTGTTGCCATTCAGGAGTCCTCCACACACTCATGAATCCCTTCGCAGCAACTTCTTGATGGTTTCGATATCGTGCTGGATCTTCTGGTTGTTCCAACGTAAGACCAGTGGTTGGTGCTTCAGGTGGCCTCACATCTTCGCAGATGGCGTAGACGAACAGCATGCGCAAAAACAACAGTGCATCCTTTGTCACCAGTGCTTGCTCTTCAGGTGAAATTCCAGGCGCACCATATGGGTCAGCTTCTGTTCGAATGATGCCAGGGCCACCATCACATTGAAACCGCAGTGCACTCACCGTGCGACAAGGCGGGCCACCAAGTACTTCTCGGACTTTGCCAGTAGATGCCAGCATCAGTAGATACTTGTAGATTTTGTCATCCATGACATCAGCTTTGCATGTTGACAGAATGTCAATGCACAGGACTTCAGTGTCTTTGGTGCTCAGCTCCTTCTCCCAGAACTTTCCATTGGGGCCGGAGTAGAAGTGCATGACAATGTTCTTGGCCTTGCGCAACCTTTTTCTCTTTGCACGATTCCACGGAAAACCCCGTGGTTCACACGTCACATCCCATGTTGGGCACCAGCCTCATTGCAATCTCCTGAGGTAGTGAAGGCCAGAGTTCCATCATCTTGACATTCCGAGCCATCTCCAGGTCCAACTTGTTGGTCAGCATCTTGGGATCTTGCTTTATCATGTTCAAGACCGTCCACCGCTGCACCATTCGCATGTAGAAGCTTTCCAATCTCATCATCAGTGCTGCTCCATCGTCTTTGCTGACCATTGGACAACCTTGATGAACTCGAACTTCAACACCGTCTCCAGCTGGATCATGAAGTGTGCATGACGATTGACCCGACCATTCAAACCTGTATCCCATGTCAGCGAGGCCACCCAACGGCAAAATCCATGATTTGAAGTTCTCATCCTGGGGGCTTGAAAGCAAACACCGTGTCCCAGGTTTCAACCGCAAGCTCTGAGTGACACCATCCGCAAGATGCACCTCGGTGACTTCAGCTGATTGCCACTCGATATCACTTGTTGCCGGCCTCAAACTGTGTGTTGCCCCAGAGTCAAGCAGGACCCAATCCTTGCCATCTTCCACATTCATTTGAGAGACCCTCACAACCCTCACCTGTGGTATACGGAGCGACTTCAGCAACTTTGTGGCTTCTTGAAGAAGAACATCACCTGCACTTCCCCCTGTAGATCCACCTCCATCACACTTGTTGTTTTCAGCCTCGCCATTTTCCTGCCTCCCCCCACTTCCAACTTCTTCTGCTTTGACGGCACCTGACATCTCATTGATCTTTGGGGTAACCGCCTTGGTTGGAGTTGTCGTAGAGGTCGCATTTTTTGTAGGAGTTGAGTTGGATCCACCACCACCATCTCCCCCTGAGCCGCTAGGGTCACCAGGCTTTGAAGTCTTTCCTCCGCCGCCCTTTGCTGGGCAATCTGATTTCCTGTGCTCTTTTGAGCCACAGTTCCAGCACCGGTTGTTCTTGTCCTCAACATTGTCCCATGAGTGCACCCATCTGCATGACTTTGCAGCTCGACATCCGGCATCTGAGGTGAAGTAACGACAGGGCTTGTTGATGGTTGAGATGCCCTTGCCCTTCTGCTTGTCCTCCTTGATGACCGATTTTGAGCTGTCTGGGATGTCAAGCTGTTTGATCTTGATTGGAGAGCTGGTACTTGATGAGGTCTTTGTTGAAGCTCCGAACAATGTCAACGTCTCGCTCTCGGCCAACAAGCATTGTGAGTAGTGCCAGATGTTGACATGATCAGGTCTTTCATCCACTTGTAGTTGAGCTCGACTTTGGGCCAAACGAAAGGCTGCTTGTGAATCCTCCTTCGCCAAGAACTGCACCATCGGCTCGAGGGCTTTGATGAGAAGACACCCATCAGGAATGATCGCACCAATCTCCTGCGCTCGGCCATAGTGTCTGCGCCAACTGCGCAAAGCTGTTGTCCATTCAGATGCCGTCTTGCATGAAGGGATCACCGTCAAGTTCTTGAGCAAGATAGCCTTTTCGCCTGATCCTCCTGGTTGATGACGGATGTGCAAGCGATACAGTATCGCTGTTGAGTTCAGGTCCCGGTCAACCACCAGTTCTTGTTGTTGGTCTGCACTGACTGCTTTCAGAAGAAGATGTACACCACGCTGCTCGGTTCTTGCAAACACTGGATCATGCAATTCTTCTGGCAACCTCGGACTGATTTGCACCCGCTGCAAAGGAGTGGCTTCTTTCCATTCATTGTAGTAGCACTGTGCCTGGGTCATCGTGAGAAACCACCATCGCGCAGCCAAGTTGGACAAATCCTTCATAATGGGACCACAAAGATGAAGCCAGTCACCAAACTCCAATGGCGTTGCCGTAGAGGGCAGATCTGGTAGCTCAGCTTTTGATCCTGCCGACCCACCTCCTCCGACATCATTCCAAGCTCCATGCATTGGCCCATACGTAGATCTCCCTTGACCTTGCCTTTCTCCATGAGGATCCCAAAGACCTCTTCCATGCTGTTGAGACTCAGCCCCACTGCAAGCCCGACCTCCATGACAAACTTCAGAAGCGCCGCTGAGAAGCTGCTGAGCCCGATCTTGTTGGGGTAGAAGAGAAGCACTGCTCGGCGCCACATGCTCAGCCCGACCTCCTTGACATACTTCAGGAACGCCGTTGAAGAACTGCTGAGCCCGACCTTGTTGATGTAGAACAGAAGCACTGCTCAGCGCCGCATGCTCAGCCCGACCTCCTTGACAAACTTCAGGAGCACTGCCAGAGACCTGCTGAGCCCGACCTTGAAGAGCATCTAGATCACATCCACCAAGCAAATTCCGTTGAGCTTCTCCATGCAAAGTGCCATGCTCAGCCCGATCGTGAAGACGTTCTGCACCACCAAGCGAGTTCCGAACTTCATGACAATGCGCAATGCCAGTGACAGGAACAGCCGATGGACCCCGAGGATTGGTTTGGGCTACATCATCACACCCCTTTGACCAATACTCAGATTGTTGCAAAACTTGGGGAACTGCCACACGATCAAGAGCATCTTTCAACGATTTGACTTCCCTCTCCAACCATAGTTGTTTGGCTTCACTAGCTGAAGGAACACCCGCATCATATCGTTCACCATGTCCCCTTCCATTTGGTTTGGATTCACACGTGTCATACAGTCCACTCACAAAGCTAGAACATCCTTGTATGCGACCCTCATCACCATGTTCATCAGCCATGTTTGGAAAAGGTGGTACCGGAGGTCTTTGGATTTCATCGCTACTCACAGGAGGTGGCCCATCAGGAACACGTGTGCCATTGGGAGTGAATCGATTCTGATGTTTTTCAGGGCTAACCGCCACATCACGTTTCTTGTTTCTTGGAGTCCTACTGCCAGACCTCCCCATGCGCCCATTCTGAACACCATTCGACCCAGAGCTCTGAATCGATTCCACATGTTCAACAGCCGACCATGGTGAAGACCCCAAACCAGAATCCACATTTCCAGCAGTAGATTGTTTCATCAGTTGAGCCCTGAGGTATTCAACTTCCTGAACCAATTTCGAATTTTCTTTGCGTAACATCCCGACTACTTCAATTTCAAGAGCTCGCTGCAACTCACCCACAGGTTCCTCTCCTTTCGCAGATGCCGCCGATGCAGCTCCAGCTTCCATCTTCTCATCCCTAGGCAGACGACCTTCCGTTTTCAGAGCACCCTGGCCAAAACCTGTAGGTCCAGTCATTGGCATCATGCCGGCCGTTTGACTGCCGCGACCCTTCCCAGTTGGCATATCAGAGGTTTTTCTAGAAGCTTCAGTCAACCCAGAGCTATCTTGAAGGGGAAAACCATTGCTAGTAGCATCATCTGGAAGATCCCTTGGTCTTGCAGCTTGAAGGAGGCATTCTTGTTGTGCCCGTTGGGAGTAAAATGGATTCCCACCACTATTTCGAACCCCACTAGGCACTGATTGCGATCTGCCCCCAAACTCCATAGCTAAGCCACACAGCAGTAGCCGAAGGTTGGGCTCATAACCCTTGTTGGGTTCGGACACCTTTTTGTCCACTTCGCGCTAAAAATGCCTTCAGAATGAATCCCAATGCTATGCCGCAATGACATGTTCAAATTGGATGACAAGACAGTTATAGATATGGATGTACAGAAACTGGTGTAAATATATGTAAATGGCAAGATCAATACCGCGTTCGCTTTTGTTGTCAAGAGTAACTGCTTAGAAGCTTCTTGCCCAACGTGCCACCTGAGGACCCCAAAGATTCTGCAGGCCCCCCATGACAGCGATTTGTTGACCGAGTCTGATTGCAATACCATGAGGAAAGTCTCAGGAGACTGCTCCCAAAACATGGGAAAACCATGGAAAACCACGGCTGCAAGCGGACCATTGTTTCTACGAACTCCTCTGCTTCCCATCCGTTTTGGGATTGAAAGCTTGGTGAAACTCGACAAAGAAGAATTTCAAAGTTTGAAAGCGACGGCGACAGCACACGCACACTCGTGTCAGGCTAGTCAGTTTGGGTGAAATCATCATTGCTGAACTATCTGAACTGTCAACCTGTCGATATGAGCTAGCAAATCACTCGTCTTCCTCCTCCTCCTCTTCCTGCGCTTGTTTTGCCTTGTGCTGAAGAGAGCCAAGAAACAGATGAGCTAAGACCGAAGGTGACCAATTTTGTGGGTCCATTGGTACCCATACCTATCTGTTCTGTAATATAAATATAATACATATATATATAATATATATATATATAATTATATGTATGTATATATATATATACATATTTATATACATATACTATACGATCATATACGTATATTAATACGTACATAAAATCATTGTGTACACATCACTGTCTAGTACTGCCCATGGTTGCCCGATCCACCGAACACGTCTTCCCAGTTGTCGCCTTCGCTTTCTTGGCCTTTTTCGCCTTTCTGGCTGCCTCGCTAGGCGCCAATGACTGGTGTTGTCCAAAAGCGGGGTATACGACATGTAACATATACCTACCCCACGAAAAGATAGAAAAGTGAAAAAAAATGAGTCATCACTAAGTTGATAGGAATTCACTTTCTTGCTGTTTGGATCTGTTTGGGGTTATATACTGCATCTTCTATATACCCAGAATCACTGGTTGATCATCATGTCATTATCCCTAAATTTGTGCACTATTGTCCCACAAAATTATGCAAAAATGTGGGGCACGTTGCCCATTTACACACAAAAACCGTGTCAAGTGCCGCCCTTCACGCCTCTGCATCCTCCTCCTCTTCCTCTTCCTCCTCTTCTACTTGCTTTCTTTTGGCCTTCTTGGGCTTTTCCTGGAGTCTCTTTTGGAGCAACCGGACTGTCTTTCTGCAAGGTAACTTTGGAGTCTGCAAGAAATAGCAAAGGGAATCTTGTCAGTATTGCCACACGGGCGGGGGCTTCTAGATGTCAATGTCTTCAGGGAAGAACCTACCACATGCCCTGCCACCAGAAAATGCGGCCAAGGTGTACATGATAATTACATATAATTCCTCTACGTACAAGTATATGCTAAACGATTGCCGCCATCGGCTACAGTACGTAATGAGCCTCTCCATCATCCTGTGCAGCAGATCTTCCCTGCTCGCCGGGGCAGAGTGAATGCAGGGTGTCAAACTCTCTACAGAATTCTTAGGTTGAAGAACCCCCAAAACATCCAAAATGATGTTACAACATCATGCCCAAATCATGCCCGTCAAGGGAGGGACCAAGGTGGAAGTGTGCAACCAGCCTCTGAGCCAGCCTTTTTCTTCAGGCGTTCCAGCAAGGAGTCAACCATCTTCTCCTGTTGGCAACGGACATGAAGCCAACACCCTCCTGACAGAATGTCAATTGACATAATCCCAAGAGTATCAAGAATAACGATTCTCTCGACAAACAATTGGGAAATAGAAACCAAAAGCATGAGCCACCATTGGGGCGTGACCTCCTCCGCATGAAACTCTTCCACAGTGCTGGCTGGGACCGCGTACTGCCTTGGCCAGGCACTGCTACAGGAAAATCTGGTTCCATTGTGTCTCAAAATCGGGGACCCACACATCCAGCTGACATTTAAAGGTGGATGGGCCAATGGTGAAAGCGTGTTCTTGTTGGAGTTGGGGACACACCACATCCATTTCTTTTTGGAGCCGTTGATCGCAGCGTCTGCCACGACTGAGTTCGCTGCTTTTTCCCTTTGTCGATCCGCTTCTGCCTGTCCCATTCGGCCTCTCCAGCCATGAAGTACTTGTCCTGAATCACTGAAGGTGTGGGCAAACTACAGCGTCGGCTGTGGATGTTCAAATTTCTTCCCAAATCCGGACCTGCTATTCAAAAAAGGCTTCAGGAATGGACACCAGTTCCATCAAGTTTTCAAAACCTCATTCCATCCCATGATTTCTCATCATTGTTCCATTAAAATGGCTTGGACAAACTTATATTATCCGTTATTATCCTATATCATGTTATTATGACATTCCACAGCATGCAACTATCCATTTCCACACCCTTTCTGCCGTCCTTCTTGGCATCATACCGAAATCCGCCCCGTACCATCAAACTATGCAACTCCGGTGTGACCTGAAATGGCCATTAGGATTATGCTACTCCTAAGTGGGGCCTATCATATATCCAGTTGTATCCACAAAAATATCCAGTTATATCCGCAAATATCACCAAAATGATGATAAACATGATAAACTGATACACCATGTGATTTAGGAGTATCATATTTGTTCAGGCAAACCCAAAGCTATGTTTTTTTGCATGTCATGGGGGAAGAGACCATCTGGTGGTTGGGTCAACGTTGTTGCAAGCACTCCATACCCCGAAAATTCACCATTTACAATGGAAAATGATGATTAGCCGATGGATCTAGTTGGGGTGTCCCATTTTCAGACAGGCCCTACAGGTCCTACAGGTCCAGATGCACCAACATCAACCACCCAACAGCAACTTGGCAATCTTGCCATTCACTACCAGACACAACCCCCTAATTAACTTGGCAATATGGCTGTGAGTCAAAACCCTGGCACCCGGAAGGTACCCCTAAATTGTGGCTGGTATAGCTGGTTCATGGTTCTTCCCCCAGATATGGGAATATGGGAATAAGAGGTTTACACCATCCCCTCTATTGCATCCAATGCTCTCAATCAGACAGCCTTTACGCGCAGCAATCTAGGGCCATGACCTTCCCCATGGCTGAGGAATCCCAGCTACACGCTACTCACTTGAGCCCAACGGCCCTGAAGGCGAGAATTTCGAAGTGTGTGGCATTTGAGTTGCTTCAAGTTGGGTCAAACAAAATCGCTGGCAGCATTTTTTGGGTCATTTTTTTTCGAGCACCATTTTGGTGTTTTTTTCTGGCTCATATCTCATGGTCACATTGTACCAAAGTTTGGGACTCCTCTTGGGAGCGGGGTCAAGCCAAAGGGAGACGCGAGCGGTGTCCTTTGAGGCACCTGTCCGGCAGCGGCTTGACCGCTGCCAGGCTGCATCCATTCGTCATCTGAGTCCAAGCCATCCTCAGCCAAATCCTGGATGTTGACTCTCATGAGATTAGCCTTTTTGATGTATTCCCACCATGGAAAACCCAAAGGCCAAGCCACTAAAGATGGATGAGTGCCATGATATTGAAGAGTCAGGTGCTGTTCCCTGGTCAGCCTCTTGGCAAAGGTCTTGCAGCGCTTGAAAGTGTCCAAAATACTGAACTCCTGGAGTCAACCCCGTTTGGACATGGCACAAACTGCTTGTGCAACCGGCCGTGAACATCCTGAAAATGAGAAACGGGAAGGGCCAACTCCAGAGAGAAGATAACGGAATATGTGAAGATTTTGTTGAAGATACAGTCTATGAAGTATGAAGTGGTGATGCACAATAAATATTATATATATATATAATTAAAAAAAACTATCGTATACACTGCAATAACATGTCCGTGATATGTTCAAGTCTCAATGCTCCGAGTTGAATGGCTTGGAAGTCGAGTTGTATGAAAAAATGTACTGTAGCCGCCCATGCTGCCCTATTGTCAATTATCATCTCAAAAAACGCTTTAAAGATGTTGAAGTATGCTGAAATCACGTAAAACTACCGTAAAACCATGTAAAACCACCAACAAGATCCAACAAGTCAGGCCGTTTTGGTTTTCCGCTCCAGGTTTTTCCCTTCTCCTGATTTCCATGCTCCAGACTCAAGGTGCGAACTGCCCGGCGCATTGCACAGCTGAGCACGCCTCCCTCTCCAACATCCTCTGCTTCTTCATCATCTTTTGCTGCAGAGATGGAATAAATATCATGAGAGTACATGAAAGAGTCGATGTCACATATCGTCCCAGAGTGACAGCAATCATTGATACAAAGAATGCGCACACCCTCTGGAACGAAGGTGTCCTCAGCTTGAGACTCATTTGAGACTCTATGGGGAATCCATCAAGCAAGAAATCGTGATAAAATCCCCTACAAGAGCAAATCCGCCTTCTGGTATTATGTAACGGTAGAGGTGTCGCATGCTCAATCCATGGTAATCCACTGAATCCAACTGAATCTCCCAATCTCCCAACGTCGGGCCACCAGTGCCAAAGCAAAGTCATCATCAATCAGCAAAGCGGATTCGGTCAACTTGCCATTGGTATCTGGTGTCACAAATGCTTGGTCAAAGCCTCCCTGGCCAGGGCAGCTGAAAAAATGAAAAAACTTGAGGCATTGCATGACGTGTCTGTGTAAGAATCTTTCCTTCATGTCTACATTGTCTACATTATGTATCGATCTGCAATTCTAAGATGTCCTAGTTCCTATGACAATCTTTGTTGCACTGTAAATAAGCCGTAAATGAATTTGAACATCAGCATGCGAACAACATGGACACAAACCACAAACCGGTTGTTCGCACCTGTTCGTCTCCATTGAAATCCGGGACGTTCACGCCATGGCCTGCCCAAAACCAAATGAACCAGTCGCCAACTTCACAAGTTCGGGCCACTTGCCGTATATGTCGCAGCACAAAGGACCGCGTCGGAAAGCTTGGATCTCCAATGCCAGCCTCCGGCAAAATCTTGACAGGATGGCATTGGAAGGGGATAGTCCAAGGAGATTGATATGAACATATATGAACTATATTGAACTATTGTATAAAATTGATATACCGTACCATGGATGCCCCCCCTGGAATAATTCTCAACTAAATTCCGCTCTACCTTGAGCTAAGATGAGCTAAGTACCAGAAGTTATTCTGAGGAATGACACGCTGGAATAATTTATGGCAAACCTGTCTGATTTCTGCAAAATTTCTCGGCATGTTTCTGCCGATGTTTTGCCATGCCGCACTATGAAGCAAGGCAAAAACCATCCAACACCATCCAAAAGATCAAAAAACATCTGGACATATATATGAAAATATCAAAAGGAATGCACATCACTGACCTCCACATTGATATCATTCTTCTTCGTTTTGTGGAACGTTCAAGAACACTCTATTATTCTACAAGTAATTGAAGGGTTCCAAAAACTATTCCGAGTTGTTGAATGGTCCTAATTAATCATGTTACGAGTTTTAAGAGGAGTACCCTCCCCCCCCCGTTCCCCCCTAAATTATTCCGCAAAAATTATTCCATTAGCTCAGGGTACCCCTGGAATAATTGAGGAAGGAACTGTGTATTAAAATTGTATAGTCTGTATAGTGTTGATGTGTACATGTCTACACGTATACATGTTTGAACATCGATCATTTATTTCACTATATGATACTTTATAAATCAATCCATTTGACATATCCCAATCGACAAAAAAACTTATCACCTCCATGCCCGCCCGAGTTTCGGTTCCTTGTCAGTAATGATGGTGATGTCATCTACCCCTGCTCGACCCGCCATGCGGTACATGGTCCGCGCATCTTTGGTGCAGGTCAGCTCAGATGCCGGGGCATACTCATAGTCCAAGGCAATAATTAGCATTCCTCAGCAGCAAGGTTGGCGTTCGTTTCCATGACACTCCTGGATTTTAGAGGTGTTCTGGAATATTGTAGAATAGAATGGGCATATAAGTTAACTGGTTGGCGGTTGTTGGCAGGGTTTAAGGTGATCTGCAGCACATGTTGCAGCTAGCTGGATCTTTGCTACCATTGCGCACCACTTGTAAGCAGGCACGTTGTTAAGTGCCAATAAGAGTTGACAAACGTAACTTGGAAGGTGCAAGGTGCAAAAGAAGTAGCCAGCCGATTCAGCAAGAGAAGGATCAGAATTATATCAGAGTGAAATTAATATATTGGTATATAATAAATCGTTAATATGTTTTTAAATATATTTTGAAACATCTAATATATATGCTATGTATTTATCATATAGTGTATATTAAATCATATTTACATATCATATATATAATCATACTTACAAATAATATGAATAGTATATATAATAACTTATATATATATTATGAATATAAATGATATGAAATAATTTATGATTTGTAATTTTGATACAATAAAAAAAATAATAATTTTCGAAAATGATTATTTAAGAAAAATAAATATGCGTAATATAAAAATGTAAAAATGCAAAATAATATATATATATATGTGATATAAACAAACTAAAATATAATATACATGGTATATATATATATATGTACTATAAAAATATATATCTTAAATATATATTAAATAAATAAACAAATTAATATATATAGGTGATTTTTAATACTATATCTATTCTAATCTATTTTATGTATAAACTGTTAAATGTTATATATGTAATTTATATATCATGGATATTAGAGATACATTTATATATATATATAATTATATATATTATCCGCGATCCTCGGCTAGCATTGAACATGGAATTATGCCAGACACACAGCATTCCTGTGCCAGGACTCGTACTGGGCACTACGGAGCTGTGTCCAAAGTACAGTAAGGAGGACCCGGGCTCACAGCTCTGATTGAGCTGAAGCCTTTCTTTTAGATATCGTATAGAAATAAGGTCGACTCCAGTCGACCTTATTTTCGTACGTGCGCGCGCGCGCAAACGCACGCATGTACGCGCACACGTCCGTCCACTTGTACGCGCACGTCCGTTCACTCGTTCGCTCACACGTGCACTCGTCCGTTCACTCGTTCGCCTTACGTTCGTCACCACGTCCGTTAGCCACTCGTACCCCCTACGTTCACCGCGTCTCTTGGAGCTATAAAAGCCTTGTTTACGAGGCTTTAAAAAAAGCTAATATATATACACATAATACACCAATATACCATACCCCAAAATTTCCATGTTCCATAAATCCTCCCAACCTCATTCTGGCACTTCAGCCACTCGGCCCCAGCCCCGCCCATCTTCCATCATCTTAACGTCGAGCGGCGCACCTTCCCACCGCTGCCACGCCAGGGCTCCAAGTCACCTTCGCCGCAGCAGTGCCAAAGGCCGCCGCTGCAGTTCCCCATGGCCATTCCCTCCACGGCGCGTTCGCGGCTCGGGGTTGCTCGGGGTCGATGGGTGATGGGCTGGCAAAACCACAAAACGCGTATGACATATATGACTTCTATGATACTATGACTAGGAAGGGTTCATGATCTTTCATTGTAGGTTCATTGCACAATGTAACTACATAAACGATAAATATGACTGTATGACTGGTGAGAGTCGATTAATTGTATTAGTCTACAGCGATATCTGATCATATGTGGCTGCTAACCTGGGTGGGTGTCATTGAAAGGGCCGCAGATGTTCGGGCATTTTGGTGCTGGGAAATCATACACATTTCCCTGCTTGCTAGGACCAAATCAGAGTTTGGTGTGGTTTGAAGCAGTTGGGCTACCTTTCACCATCGGAAGTTTCAAACAACCATCAAATACAGTTTGGAGAAGACATTGCGCACCACATCATACCACATTCCCATACACTCATAACATCTCATAACATCTCCGAACTTACAACCGATAAGACCTCGGTATTGAACCCATCCGAGCAAGGATCACTTTTCCATGGCTGTGACTTGAGCGGAAAGCCACAGTCTCTCTGCTCTCAATAGATCATGTGTTTCTATCAATGGTTTATGGTTACATGTTACATCAGATACTTGAATATATATATATATCTGAAGCAGTTGCATGTCTGTACTTCGACCATCACCATCACCAACAGTTTACACAAAACATTCAGTTTGCACAAAACATTCTGGACTCCACAGCACTTACCAGCACTCTACCAGCAGCACTCCTTTTTCATCTACTGGTTGTAATCCCTGGCCCGCTGGATCGCTTGCTTGTAGAGCCGATGGCTGGCCAAGTCACAGATGACCAACGTGGCCAACAGAAGTCCGAAGAACATTGGGATCGGGGATCTCCTCACGACGCTCGGCGAGTCGTGGAAAATGTACATTTTCTTCAATGAAATCATATGTATGTATAATATATATATATTAATATTGTATATTAAATTTATATATATATGTATACTGATAATAATGATAATAAAATCCAAGCTCTTGATGCTGCCTTGAATTCCTGGATTCAAGAGAAGTCCAAGTCTGATTTTGCTCTGGATGTGCTGTGTATGTTTCATGCCATGCGTATGGTCTCCAGCGACAGGTCTTGGTCTCTTGGTCGACGGTCATGAAGAGGTAGTTGTGGCATGGAGGATCCTCACCTCGAAGCAACTCTGAATGGATGGGTTGTCTTGGGAACATCTACCGGACACCATGGGGTTCAAATGTTTTTCAATGCTTTGTTTATCATCAAATATAGGGTTTTACTGCAGATCTACCATCAAAATCCATCAAACGATACTGGGACTGTCACTTCTGAAAGTCTGCACAAGGGTATAACCATCTCTTTAGGATTGCGCAGGCGAGCAAGAGGGGGCGACAAGATTGTCAAACACATGCAACGTGATTGGAATATGATGGAGAAGATGAAGAATAAGCTCAAAACTTTCTATTTTATGATCTTTGAATTCAAAGATCCAGTCGTGTATAACTGCTCGTTCATGTTTCACCCACGCGAGCACAACAATGCCTCCAAAGCTTGGCCCCTGGCAAACATTCATTGGTGGAAAGAAGCCTTGGACACAGTTGGATTCAGACTGGGGTGACGGTGTCTGATGGTGTGGCATATGGCCATATGGCTGTTGCTCCAAATGATTCAGCCTGATTCACCCTTGAGGCTTGAAATATATTGAAATATATCATGATAAATCTGAGGTCCATGAGATTTACGGATATTTCTGGGCTACTGATGGCTACTGATGGCTACTATACATGGGGCCCCTGCAACCAACGTCTGCATGGCCACGCCGCATGTGGCCAAGTCTTGGATCGAGCAGCTCTGCATACCGACGCAAGTGGGCGACTTTGCGCAACCAACCTGGCACTGCGCCTTTGACTGACCAAAGGAGTAAATCGAAAGCCTTTGAAAGTAATAGGGATTGAAAAAAGGTAGTAACTGTAGTACTGCAGTTGTGTTTTTTCCAAAGAATAGGCTTTGTGCATCGAACTCGTAACAAGTTTCGCAAGTTTACTGCGTTGAAGTAAGCGCCTCTGGCGGAGGCTACCTTCAAAAAACATAGCGTTTGAAACTCATCCAAAAGCATTCAAATTTTGATTCATGATTATAGTTGATGTTAAATTATTACATATCATACATAGTGTCTTGCTTAACGGATCTTAACGGTCTAGCGCTGTTGACCGATCTCGATCTTGTGGATGTTCCTTTACGAAAGCTGCATCGACTCGGCTCGACCTCCGAGCTTTCAGCTTTTGGATTTCCTCTGGGCGATATACCTGGGAGATGAGTGGCGCCCATGGAATGGCCATGAATGGCCATGAATTCTGCAACAGATCCAGTCATTAGCCATGGCTCAAAATGCGATACCAGTTCAATTTAGGTTTTTGTTGAATATATTATAAATTTGATGTCTTTTTGAGCCCATAATTTGGGTTCTTAGTGCCTATAAATGCTCCAAAACAATCCAATTTTCGGGGTTGAGCCATGAGTGGCTGAGCTTCTGACCCATGCTCCCATTCTTCATGTCAACTGCCTCGGACAGAGCCCCCGCAACTGGTCGTAAAGAGGTCAGGCTTTGGGTCAATCTGCTGCTTACCCTGCATTTGGGATTACAGACTAGTTCCTCCAAACATCACTTTTTGGGAGAGTTTTAGAGATGTCTTGAGAAACTTGGGATGTATTCGAATGTAATGCGGATTTCCTGAAAATTAGCGAGGTTTCAAGATTTGTTGAAGATGTCTTGAGAAACTCTTCCTGCATTCACTGTGCTTTTAATGTACTGCGAGATGTGTGCTCCGCAGGGTCAAAGCAGTGCGATGTTCCGTCCAAGTCACGATATTTAGAGCGGATGCCACCATTGAACCAAACGCGATGTGCGCATATGAGTACCTGGAATCAGCAAAGAATGGGCTGCTCCAGCCATTGAAATCCACAGAGATTGAGCTGTGGCACAAAACCCTGGACTGGAGCCTTCCTGGACTAAAACTCCAATGACTGGGAACTCCACTCCCCTCTGCTACAATGCTCGCAACATTGGGGGTTTTAAAACCCAGTTTTTCAATTCTCAGGGCACATCATGTTCGCAGGTGTCGTAATGTCATTGTTGTCTTGTCTTGCCACGCACAGCAGCTCATGTCCAGAGCTATTCCTGGCTGCAGAGTGGCACTGCAGAGTGGCTGTGCCAAGTCACTAGCGGCTCGTCATCCCAAAATACCCCAAGCAGGAAGGGATAAGAATATGGTTTAAACATGTTCGCCCCAACCCGGACGTTCCTCCACACTTTCAACCCTCATGATCATCATCATTAACCGCCGACCCCAGCCATCTGCAGGGGGGGCGCGCCCGAGAAAAAGTGCCATTGAGGCCTTATATGGCTTCAGAAAGCGATGTTAGGCAGTATAGCCGGGCGCCTCCGCCCAGCGCCATGGCATCTACCCTTTCCGGCTCCCGCCGGGCGCTTGCTTCGAGCTTTTCTAGTGGCTTCAGAAAACAACGTTAGGCAGTAGCCTAGCTTTAAACCCTCCGCGGCGCCCTTGCCGGCGCCTTTTGCAGCCTTCCGGCTCGCCAGTGCAAGCCGGTGGCCATCTGCCGGGCGCTTGCCCAAAGCTTTTAATTTCTAGTGGCTTCAGAAAGCAACGTTAGACTAGCCTGGCCTCCAACCCTCCGCGGCGCCCTTGCCATCTCTTTTCAAGCCATTGGCCATCTGGCGGCCGCTTGCCCACAGCTTTTCTAGTTTTTCACGCCATTGGCCATCTGCCGGGCGCTTGCCCATCTCTCCGAGATGCACGCTTCTCGCGGGCAGCCCAACGCACAGCGGCCGGAAACCGATGATCAAAGTGAAAGTTTCGCTCTCCTCACCTCTGCTCGCTTGCCTTACTTATGTCAGTTTTGCCATGTTCAAGTTGAAAACAAGAGTGTATACGTGCTCTGACAAGTCAATCCTCTGTATCCTAAACCGCGTGTTCCGAAACTGCTTCTGCTACGTGCGTCCATCTACAAAACATGTTTACGCTCATCAACTTCCTCCACTCCACCTTGAAAACCTGCTGCCTCCTGCAAATTCGATTGCCACTAGTCCCAGCTCTCTCAAGGCATGTCAGCTCTACCAATTTTTTCCAACCCACACCTTTTCTTCACTGATCCGTGGCACAAAAAAAATCCAACGCTGTCTGTTACAACGCCAACAATGAAGCTTTGGAAAAAACGAAGAGGTCCTTCCGTCAGGGCAGCCACTGAAGACCCTGCGGCGATCACCTTCAAATCCACACATCTGCAGCGCGAGCGCTTTCCGATGCACCGTCCTTCAGGATGTCTCATGACCAATAACAGCCTCCGACCATTAAATGTTGAATTTGTATCTATGACAGAAGTCAATCGCCCATGCACTCCAAAAACGTGCTGTGCTGCACACTCAGGCCAAATCCGCTTAGCCCACTGTTAGGGCACCAGCGCACACAACGTAAGTCAATTCCTGAACCAATGACACTATCCGCTGACTCCACCATTTTGCACAAGAGCGTCCGTGGCGCCCCCAAAACGGAGCCACAGACTACATACCCATACATCAGGGCAAGCCCAAACAGCAAAGCCAAACCAAGATCATCCACACTACATACACCCAAACCCTGTATCAAACCAGTAACACAAATCCGCCCGCACCGAAGGTGCTGGGGCGTGATCTTCCGGATGGCACTCGTAAAAGGTTACAGGTTTACCTGGGGGGGGGGCATTTTTCGGCCAAAACCTCCTGTTTTTGATAGGTCGTGACGCTCGCCTTCAAAAAACACTGTAAAAAACAGTACGGAAGACACCTGTTCGTGAACGCGCCCGTCCAAAATCGGCAAGCGAAAAGTGAAAAAACCCCGTGTTTTTCAACTTTTTGACCTCAATTTTTTGGTTTGCAACATCTTTTTTTGCGGTTCCGCAGGTGGCCGGGCCCGGAGGCGGATTTTTGAGTTTTTGGACCCGTTTTCGGACTGATTTTCGTCGTTTTGTGATAGCAGAAACACTGGTTTTTACAGTGTTTTTCTGTTTTCTGCATGCTTGACGGCTAGCTTCAAAACTTCCAAAAACCTCGTAAATTACGCTGTTTTATGTTACGGTGTGAATGAAAACATCGTAAATACCAGTGTTTTTTGACGTTGGTTAAAAAAACACTGTAAATTACAGTGTTTTTGGCCACCTGACCCTCAAAAACCATGGTATTTGCAGTGGTTTCTGCTTCTCACCGCGCAAAAACATTGTAAATAACAGCAATTTCGCCGTTTTTTCATGTTTTTCGTTATTTTTTGAACTGCGTTGGTCCGCTATACATGGCTATCAAATTCTTCGCGTTTTTTTTTCCGACAATCAGTACTTTCGGATGTTTTTGGTCTCAATGGCCGACATCATTGGCAGTTACGAGCGGCTGCCCAACGATGCGGTGCGGGCGGTTGCCGTCGCGAAGCAACGTGAATATGTCTATTGCAAAGACAGATGAGGAAATATTATACATATGGGTGTGAATGTCGCAGCCACACCGTCATCATATAGCTGTCAATCTCCCTTCTCACCCACAAGCACTTCCCCACAACCCCGGTCCGAATAACACCAGGCGGCCAGTTCGCCGCATCCATCATCATCCTTATCTTTGGCGTCCTTCACTTTGATCTGCGAATAAAAAATGACCACTATGTCCTGCTCCTGGCGTCGACCAAAGCCAAGAGCCAGCGCAGGACCTGCAACCACAGCCGCACCACCACCACAACAACCACAACAACAGCAACAACAACAACAACAACCACCACCACAACAACAACAACCACCACCACCACCACAACAACCACAACAGGACATCCACATCAATCCTCTCTGTCACCAACTACCACTAAAAGAAAACAGCCATGCGGGCCATGCATCCAAGCCCTTTTGACACCACCTTCTGCCCCCTCAGCTCATTACTATCCCACACCGGACCGATCATGCCCCAAGCACTCCAGCATAACATACCCCCAGCTAACGCCTACTTGCCCGCAGCCCCTTGTGCAGGAACCCTCCAAAGAAACGTTACCCCAGCAAACCTGGCCTGCACCTCCACACTCTCGGCATGGTCACCGAAGACAATCACCTTGATCGCACGCCCACTCACATCGACCAATCCAAAGGAAAGGATTGGAACGTCTTGCATCTGACTATAACGCAAGGTGCCCACACCACACACTTGACCAAGAAGGTGCGCCGTCAGCCGACCATTAGCACGCTCGTCCACCAGCACATGGAAGGAATCCACGTACAACTCTTTCGCAGGCTTGATGGTGAGGCTTTCAGACCTGCCAGCACCCGACACCCCACAGCAAATTCTTCCGAAAAAGAACATCTACGCCACAATACAACGCCCAGCATTCAAACCTGCATCACCTCCCCAACGCAAGTCCAACCTGAGGGCCGTCATCGAGGCAGCCGGAGTTGCACTCAGCTTCGTCGTCTTGCTCTGAACAACAACCTCCATGCCCTTCATCAGCACATACGGCCATTTGCCTTCAGCTTCCAAGGTCGAGAATGCACGATCACATTGTTTGCTGAGAAGAGTTGCTGCATCTCCCCACGCTGTGCAAGAAAGGACCGCATCTGCATCCCCGATGATGAGGTTCAGCACAGCACGCTTCCCCTGCCACGGTCACAAACTGATACTGATGCACAAACACACACACACAAACACACACGTTCTAACTCTAACTCCCAATAAAGTTTTCAACCGCAACCCTCTACCTTTCAGGAATCAGCGTCTGCTCAACATCACCAAGCCCACCCCCACAAGCATGAGCATGGACTCGCTTTCGTTGTCTGGCCCAACATGGGCCCGACCTGGCCCAACATGGGAACAACCTGCGTTTCACATAGGCCCAGACTGCTTCCACACAGGCAAGCACTGCGCATTATGCCTGCCTCAGTTCTTAACATAGCCCTCCCTGGGTTTGCGCTGAGAATCTCGGCCCAATCTTCCCACACCATGCGCCAAACGTCGTTGCTTGGCCGGCGCCCGGCTGTCAGGCGTAAGCCTTTAAATCATCATCACATCATGATCATCATCACATTAAAATTTGCCGCCCCCTCTGAACAATGTGTTGACTGGGGTAATAATATCAACTTTATCTTCATGAGGGGTCAACATTTGCCACCCCCTCTGAACAATATGATTGGGGTAATAACATCAACTATATCTTCGTATCCACCTGAAGTCAGACGCGGCACAACGTCGGGGTTGCAGCGAACATGTTGAAACCACAAACTAATGTATAGGGTTCCCCAAGAAAGAACTGAATTGTGTTCCAGGATATTTTAGATACATTACATACTGTTTATTATGAATAGATGATATATATATATATATATATATCGAGTCTAGTAATGAATACAAATGATATGTCCCCTATAATTTCCAGGTGTTCGACTCTTCTATCTACTTGTGCTGTGCCTTTTAGGGATGTGACGTGATGCCTACAACTTCCACTCCCCAGCCTGAAAACCAGGCGCTCCAAGGCCAAGTCAATTGAACTCGGCATCGGCCTCTGCAGTAACCATGGAAAAATCCTCCGTTTTTTTCCATGGGTTTTCATCAAAAAATGATTTACCCTCTGGTAAACATACAAAAAGCTATTGAAAATGGCCATTTATAGTGAGTTTTCCCATTAAAAATGGTGATTTTCCATAGCTACGTTAAATTACCAGAGGGTAACCATGGTTAACCATCAAATGGCATAATGGGGATTAAATCCGCTATGGAAGCCATGGATTAACAATGGCCCGATGAGTTTGTTGGATGATCTTCCATAGCTGTGTTCTAGTACGAAAGCAATGGGGATTTCCAGCTCATGGATTAACCCGCCTATGTGTGTAAATAGATAATCATATATATGTATATATAGTTATATATGTATACGTAAGTATATATGTGTCAATGTATCTGGTAGTGCAATTCCCTAAATCATCAACCAATTGGGGTGTGTGAAACTGCTCAAATGACACAAGCTACGTCAACCATCTTCAACCCACATTCAAGAAAAGCGGCCATGGGTCAGACATATGACTGTTGGACTTATTGATCAATTCGGGCAAACATTTGAAGCACTGATGCCCAGTTTGCACCACCCAAGGTTTTGCTTAGGTAGGGATTCATCGAAAAACGCAATCGTTCAACTGATCTTTGTTTAGCTCATCCAGCTTCAGGCAGAACATTGTACACCAGAAGCAACATGGACAACTGGTTTGGACTGAGACTGATCACTCTGGTGGCCATTGCTGCAGTGGTGAGCAATATCAACTCCGAGGTCGTGGCTCTCTGGAATCTTCCAACTGAAAGCTTAGGCTTGGCCTTATTGAGCACAACATGTCTCAAGACAATTCACAGAAGACCGAAGGGCGTTTTCACCTGTTTTCACCTCTAAGGATAGAAACACTCTCAAGTTCACCAGTCCCTTGTTCAGGTGTCCAAGCTAGATCAGGGAAAACATGTGCAACTCAGCTGTGATGATTTCAATCACCCGGTGCCCCGACAACTTGACTCGCTGGCCATCAACCTGCCCAAGAGATCTAACTTCAAATCGACAGGAGTCCAGCTTCCAGATTGCACATGGAAAATCATCAGATTCATATCATCTCCATGTGATTCATTTTGATCAGATCTATAGAAAAATGATCTTTGGTTGATTCATGATTTTAGGGAAAAAAAAACATATGGCAGTGTGTCAAAACCTTGTACCCCTGGTGAACATCAAAATAGCTGGGATTTATGGATGTTCATCCCCCTAAAAATGGTATTAATAGGTATTGATCCATAGCCATATCTTCAAAAAAACAACTCCCTGGTCATCTCAACACGCTGGCAACCAACACACCTGGCCTGTGCTGGTGAGCAAAGGCGACCCTGTGACATGTCGCCCTGCTTGAAGGGACAATCCACAGGGATATGTGTCCTGCGGACAGCGGGACATGTCAGTAATTAATGGAGATTACTATATAAATAAACTGCTAAAAATGGGATGGGATTACACCAACCTACAGTTGGTTTACTATATATGTTACTACATGTTACTACATGTTACTATACTACTGTATATGTTACTATATATATATATATATGTTACTGTATGTATCTGTATGTTACTTAATATGTATATTATATGAACCCTTATGAGCCAACCAGTCGCTTTGAGGATGACAGCGGGTGAACATGATCCAGTTGGGGCGGCCTCAAGCGATCGAAGAGGAAGGGTGGAAAGGACAGACACGGCCTGGGCAGCTGGATCGGATCAGCCATGTAAAAGTTGGACAAAGCGCACAAACCAATACCATTCGAATGGTGGCTACACCTATTGGAATATCAGGTTTTTGGTGGGCGTCAACAATACCAATACCATATTTTTAGTGGGTGTTCAGCCATTTTTTTGCTGTACACCTATTCTTCAACATGCGCGTTGCTGCCCTCCATGTTTCTTCTTTGATTTGAATCCTGTGGTCATGGTCCTTGCTGGTTTTTCCCGCTTGGTTCTGCTCAACTCTTCATACCACCAGATTCACCAGATGCCATCTGTGTTCCCAACCCAGATGTATCAAGGATGGTTAGCCAGTTGGATGAAGCGTTGTACAGCAAGTCAACTCCACAAACCTGTCGAGAATGCGCCACAACGATGAGCTTGGCCATCTGGGGCATGATCTTCAATTTATGGCCATGTTTTGTAGAAATATTATGGCTGACCAGTGGATGTATGTTTCAGAACTAAGCCAGACTGATGTTGTTTCGGAGGAAAAGGTTCCTTTCTGCCATGTGCCCGGGCCACACAAGTCTCTGCAAAGATTCTAGCTGGCGACATCATCATCATCATCATCATCATCATCATTTTAATCTTCATCATCGTCATCAACATCGTCATCATCATGATCATGATCATGGCCTTGGGCTTGTAGATCAGCATCTCATGCATGGCATCGTTGATCAAGTCCCCCGTCTGCTTCGGTTGACTCCAAAGCATCTTTGCAGCTTTAGGATCCACCTGCAAAACATCTCGGACGAAAAAGGAGACATCGAGCCTGACTAATTATTTGAGAAAGGAAGAGAGGGCATTGGGCATATTGTTTGTTCTTGTTGCATTGGAACAAGATGGAACAAGTCTCAAAAAACAGGGCTCCTACAGTCGAAACTGTGCGAGTTCTGAAGTACCTTGCCTCATTGAACACGATGCGGCTCGGCAGTGAATCCTCATGATCCGAGTGGCCAAATGATCAGCACGACTTGAGGAACCATGGCCGTCTCCAACAAACAATATGCTCCATGTATATTATATGACATTATATATATGTTCCTACATTAGGGTAAGTGTTGATCAGTAATGGCAAGTATCCATGCAGCATCTTGGAACTCCTCATCGAATCCCCCCTCAACTTAGAGGCTGACGTTGAAAATCGATGATTTCGGAGGATGAAAATCCAGGTAGAAGCTGCTGACGTTCAGCTTCTGCATCAACACAGTCCATACCGTCGTGTTTCGACAGGACAGGGAGGGACCAGAGCCACCCAGGATTCCATCTGCGCCTGACATCAGAATCTGTCGAGCGAAAAGGCGAAACAAAAAAACAGCGAGATATCCTGGCCTCTGAAGAGGTCCAACGAGACATTGCTTCCCCTCGGCACTATGATCTCTGATCACTCTGCACAGGACCCAAGGGACCGTGTAGGTGACATCTTGAAAAAAATGCTAAAAGCATCGGAGTTGATCACAGAATCACACTGCTATGTGCTGAGCAGTTGCTTAACACTGGCAAAATTTGGCAAATTTCAGCCATGATCCATATCTGGTTGGTGGTTTCAACAATCTTGAAAAATATGAGACAATGGGAAGGATTATCCCGTGTATTGTGGAATATAAAAAATGTTTGAAACCACCAACCAGATATAGATCCCCTGGCTGCCACAGTGCGTGCCACGTGCTGCCACGTGCCACGCTACAGCCGCCAAGGCACTTGAAGTTCGGCGTGAAGTTCTGCAGTAATCTGATTGGAACGTACGACCAGCCTGGGCTCACTGGTCAACTACCAACCCCCTTGGAACTGTAGGTCACAGCTGATATTCATTGCTTTTCTACAGGAAACTCTGTGTTTGCCAGTAGAAATTATGCTTAAAAGTTTCCTGCAAGGTGAGGCCCTGTCATATAACTTGGTCAACTTTGGTTGATGGGGGATATTAATGGTAATTATAACTGTATAACATTGTATGGCTATGGATCAATAGCTATACATACCATTTTTAGTGGGATGAACATCCATTTACCAGCTATTTTGATGTGAACTACAGGGGTACAAGGTTTTGACACACTGCCATATAACTATAGTTAGTGGGGGTTATAAACCAACAAACATCACGCTAGTGGGCCTCACCGGGCCTGACAATTAAAACTGGTTACCGATCATGTTATCTCATGGGTAAACTTATAGGATTTATAATGATACAACATGATACAACCATACGTAGGATCTAGGGATATCTATGGTGACTTAATGGTGACTTATGTTGACTTATGGTGATTTACCATAGATCCATAGGATTCATGGTGAGTTAACTCTGACTTTGCTGCATTTTCCATATTTTCCCTGGAAGTTTCAGCTAGGTCACTGAAGATCTGCCGCTCTCCCAAGTCCACTTCCATCATCACATCGTCCAAGGCCTCTAAACCTGACCGAGCACAGAAGCCATGCCCGAAATCTTTGGAATCCAGAAATGATGGCAAAATCATGGGAAAATGATGAGAATGGACCCTGGGGGGTTGGCCCTTGCATTGGGTTTACCAGTTGACCCCTTTTCTGAGACACCTAGAAATCTGGAAACTGCACAACTGCACAACGGTGAATTCATCCCCAGAAATCCTCCCAAAATGGTCATCCCAGGTTCCAACATGTTCCAACCAACTTCAATATCTGAAACCATCAACATATATCAACATCAACCAGGCACTGCATTTTTTTCTTGTCTTCACCTAAGGCCTTTTTGGGGCCTTTTTGGGGCCTTTTTGGGCCCTATCGCTGCCGATAGGGGCCTCTCTGGTAGTATTGAAGGCCATCGATCACCAAACCATCGGAGTGGCAAGTGGCGTTCGAAACATTCGCTAAATACCTGGGACAGGACCGCTCGCTGGCAGCGCCGGCAAAGTCCCTGGGGAAGTCATGGGAACTTCAAAGCCTTTCGGGAAGAGTACCGTCACCACGAGGGTATACCCCAAAATTGCCATTTTACTAATTTAATGCGGAAAATGATGATAAGTTATTGGACTTGGGGGGTCAAAAAACTCAAGTATCCCGGTGAACATCAAAATGGCTCTGATGCTGGCGCACTTATCGCACATAAACTTGCCCTTCGAGTGGAAATCACAGGTCTCCTCACAGAATGAAGAAGAATAGCCGCTTACCATCTGAAGAAATTGGCAATCCAGCCATATCCAGCCCATGTGTGGAAAGTCATGGAAAGTCGCTCAGTTTCAAAGATATCAGATCTAAGAGCTTCCAAATCGCTGAGGGAATATGTTGCTTGGAAGGGATGGCCATATTGCTTGGAAGGGTCTGTTGACATGTAATACACAGACCCCGGGGAAAAAGAATTGGAGGGCAAAGTTTCTGCTTCCAAGTGGTGATAGTTTCCTGACAGTTATCTTATCTTTGTTTCTACAAACAAGCAAAAACAGGAACACTGACATCGAAATAAAGTACGCCATGTGGATGTATTCGATGTGGTTTTTGTGGTGTTGAGGGCAGCCTTGACACCTCTTTTTCATCTGCACATGTCGCATACGGCAAATTCACATAAAACAACTACACAAAATATACTAAAATTGGAAAAAAAAACATTGAAAAATAAACCCTATGTCCATTCATTTCTCACAGTGATCCCTGTCACGGGCGCCTTCGGGTCATTGTTGCCTATGCACACATGCAATCCTCCATTCTTCTCAGCCTCCTGGCATCGGTATCATCGGTTCCCAGCCACCTGTGCCGCTCCCAGCCCCCAGTCGCTCCCCGCCTTGTACGAAAAGCAGGACGACAGGTTGTTTGGAATGCACGCATTGTACCTCAGACTCGGAGAAATAAAGTTTACTGATGTTTACTGATTTACTATGATTTACTGTGCGACGGAAAAGTCATAAAGTCGAACGTGCTGACTGCATAGAGTAAATCGACTTGAAATTGAGAAGTGTTTGAATTGGCCTCATTGCATTTTTCAACTCAAAGAATGCGCAGCTGTCAAATATTCCCCAAAATCTGTGCCGCTTCATTTTGTGCCATGGAACTGCATGGGAGCATCACATTCCGCCCGAATCCAGTGGTTTATCTCACTCCCCCAGTCTCAAATCCGTCTCCATCTGCGATCTGCCAAGCTGCTCCTTCATGAAAGCCACGGCATATGCAGAGGAGCTGTCATAAACCAGCTGCAACCTGAGAAAGCTATGGCCGAAGTGGGCACCCGATGGGAAATCCCCAAATTTTTCACGGGCGATGGGAAAATGATCCAACTCAGTGGGGATCCACGCCATGGAGCTGATTTGTTGCTCTAGATATGGCGACAGCATTCAACATTTACACTTGCACGATTTGCCAGAAAATCAGCGGAGCAACAATGGTTGAAGGCGCAATGAGCTCACTGCCAGTTGAAAAGCGCCACTCTCAGTGTCCGGCCATTGACCACCTATGGAAATGTTGACCAACGGTTGCAAGACCTGACAAGACCAGGGAAAAGCGCGTCATTAGATTCATTAGATACCCTGAAAAAGAAAAACACCGCAAAAATGGGAAAGGACATGTGGATTTGTCTGGCAATGGGGTCCTTTCCATGCTTGATAGTTCAAGCTTATACCTTCATGTTCCCTCCCCATGGCCATAAACTGGAGGCGAACCACCCTCTTTTGGACACACAAAACTCTTGGCGCCGCTGCCTCACTGTACGTGACAGCCAAAGAGCTCCGTGGCTGCCAATTTGCCGCCGGCCTTATGTGTATGTATATATATATATATTAAATTGTATATTATATATATATTATATATATATTATATATTATACATTATCATATGATATCAATATTATGATATACATACATATATACGTATATATATATGTGTGTATTCTCTGGGGAAAATGATGATAAACCATGATTCAAACCGTAAATGGAGGATCTCATCACTAGAATTGCGGATGTTTATATAACCAATAAAAAAAATGGTGGGATAAACCATGGACGCGAATGGGTTCCACATTTTGAATATTTTTTGGGAGAAAGAGTGTCTGGGGTGCAACCCAGCAAGAGAACAAAAGGTCTGTGATATTCTGTGATGCAGCTATTCAAGAAAAATGCCTGTACTGTGATCATGTTTGATTAGGACATTCAATATCATTCAATATCTTGAGACATTAGCCGTCGAGTGTCCCGCCCGATTTTCATGACAGTTTCTGGCTGTCTAAAAGGAGGACACCTAGGAGATCCCGGGCCCAAAGTGAACAACTTCGGATTATATACTCTTAGACATCAAAAGGATTGCTTAAAATCTCCAGATATCCGGGACTCTCATGGATTATCCATCAAAAAAAAATTAAAATCATCCAAAATCCCCAGTTGGGTACCCCTCGTGTTATTTTCTTAGCCCAATCCCGGCAGATGCATAGTTCTGAGCAACACACCTAGGACCAGCGGCTACCTCCACGGAAACCTTCCAAAGATTCGAGGACCACGACGGGATGGGCGGAAACAAAGTTCAGTCTGAATACGGGATTATTGCCCCAAAACAAAGCAAACATGGCAATGGAAAATCACCCGTTTATAACTTTATAGATGATTGTCCTAATATATAATACCTTCCATGACGAGGGATTTCCAATTGCCCAATTGCCATGTTTGATTACCGGAGGGTACTATCAAAAAATCATAGATTGTCAGACGATGTTCGTCAACTTTCCCATGAACATCGCAACTTTTGGATGTACGACGTTCCCATCCCCATTTTTCAGGATCTAGCTACCAGTTGGACGTGGGTGTGTCATAAAAATGGGGTGACTCCCCAGCAAATGTGATAGGGAAGATGGTGATTATATAATCCATACAGATCCATACAGTATGAATCATTGGATTTAGGGCTTTCATCCTGTAGCCTATTTTCAGAGACCAATGTGACCTGCTTCAGGCTGGGTTGCCGACATTTGGAACAAGAACGGACCTGACGGATGATCCCCAGTGCCAGGCGTGCCACAAGAGGCCGGTGGTATTGGTAGCATGAAATTCAAACATGTTGAGTTGAAAACACAAAACAAATACCGCAGTGTAGACAGAGGGCGATATTCCTCCCCATTGAAAAAATCTGTCCAGCTGAGCAGTTTATCTTGCTGCTCTGTGTACACATCGAAATCTAGTGGATTTTGGGCCTGGTGCAGTTTGGCGCTTGAACCCCTTCAATCTTTAGAACTCATGAGCATCTCTGACACTATCTCATGTGATTTTTTATTCACTATCTGAAGCACCATAGGTACCCTTCAAAGATGTCTATGATAGGACTGGGACCCGGAACTATTTCCCTTTCCACATAGGAAATATGTCCATCTCAAAGGGCACCTCGTTAGTCGAAGTTCGAAGAGAAAGAGTAGGGCGAGCCTGCGCGGAGAGGGTGAGATTGGCGGATAGTCGCTCAGCTATAGCAGCTATGTTGCGCTTTGACGGTTCTTCAGGATCTTAGATGACTGATTGGTAGTTTTACCCATCCCAAAAATATGAGTCATCTCAACCAATCATCCAAAGTATGGTTGAAAAGAATAAATATTTTAAACATTTTTAAACCATTTTAAACCACCAATCAGATTCTATTATTAGATGATATTAGATATATTAGATTAGATGTACGAAGTAATTAATTTCACCTGCACTGAACAGATTCATTTTCTGGATCTAATCTTTCTATCCTTGCATATCTCATCCCTACCCTCGAATACCGGGTCGGGTTTCCTGCAAATGTTTCCTTAAGGCAGTTTCGGGAATATACGTAACATAATATGACTACGTTAACTGTTCGAGCGAAATGGAGAATCTGCGCCTGAGCACCACCATCTGCTCACATTAGCATCGCATGAACTCATCTCCTTTTCGCGTCATGCACTGGAAAATCAAAGCCAAACACATAGACTCTTAGAGTGCATAGCCCATAGCAGTATGTAGCAGCCATAAAGTTATATCGTGTTTGGATGTGTTTGGAAATCAAACTTGACAAATCCTCCACCCGCGCTATGTCTCTGTTCTTCAGCATACATGTCTGGAATGATCTGCAAGAGTCTCTGATTCATTGCTTTCCTAACGCGTTGCAGACTGCAGCATTTGGAAGTTTGAAGCTTGGGCACACAGACAATGATACCTGGACAGTTGCAAGTTGCACACCAAGTCACAAGTACTCACAATTTACAGGGAAAGTCTGGCAAACAAACATCTGCTACATATGATTCGCAACCACCAACCCTGGAAAAACACTTGCCTCTTAAGGCTTGCAATGTTGCGGATATATATATATATACATAATAATACTATATACTGTAATATATATATAATTATATATATAGTTCTTCTATTCCAGCGACTTTCCTGTTTGGCAGCAACATCCAATTGAAGGATATTAAAGGTAGATACAGTGCCCAGTGCATGTGAAAATAAGCCAAACAGAGTTACCTATGTAAGCAATTCTTGCCTCAGCGAAGGCAACAGGAATCTGGTGGATATGATTTGTAGAATCTTGCACTGAATGTGCAATGTCGATCTTTCATAGATATGAAGCAGTCGTCCAAGGCTGATTTCAAACGTGCATATCACTCCCCAGTCATTCTGCACGCAGCACCTTTTTCCCCTATATCCCAAGTGTCACAGTCAGTCTGGACTAATTAAGGAGAGTATATTGAAAAAACTGCGCTTCGGTCGTACATCGGTGCAACATGGATAGCGAGATCCGAGTTCTGTGACCCAGATGCGGTATTCCGTGAGAGTTCTCTGACAAGCTTCGACATCATCAGAATAGCGCTAGTTCCATTTAACAAGCTCTGTTTCATAGACAAGCTTCCATATCATCAGATACGTAACAACTTGAGTGGTTGTTGCTTAGACTTTTAACTTAATCAAACAGAGTTTGTGATAGACCAACCGAAGACTGCTGGGGTAAGCTGGTGCCAGGAGTTGCCGTTGAGTCGTTGAATCTGAATGGATGAATGAAAATACATTGCGTGTTGGAAGAATGCGGTAGATATGTATGTATAGACTATAGACATAGATATGTTTGATGTAATTAGATAAGATACAGATAATATAGACATAGAAAATGACATAGATGTAGATACAGAATGGTACAGAAATATCGGATTATAGAAACATTTCCATTGACGACGGAAACCACATTCCATCTAAAACATGGCTTCCGCTTCTGATATGTGATCAAGTCCTCCAACTGGATCCCCTGCCACCAGAGCTCATTGGCAACTCCAAGAGCATTCTCTCCTCTCCGGATGACTTCTCCTTCCCGATTGTCCCCAAAGCATGGCCAGGCACCATGTGACAACGGGCATGGAATGCATCCTGCCTATACCCCCATCTAAGAGCTAAACTTTGCTTCCCCGACTGCCTGGCTCCGGCCCGAAATCAACTGAAGCAATGTGGCAATGTGGCAAGCCACACCAAACTGCCATCGAAGTGGCATGGTGGATGGACAATGAGACATTTTTGGGGAAAAGAATCACAAGTTTGGAGAGCCGGGGGGCAAGAAATTGAGCATATTCAGACTATGTCTATGTGAGCAATATTTGGTCCAGGCATACATTTTGCATGTTTGGACGGCGCAGTCGCGTAAGTCTACTGCCCATGACTGGATCGCTTTGTTTTTGAGGTCTGTATCCAGTGGCAGCAACGCTTCGAAATCCCAGCTGGCCGTCAAAGGGCCCTTCCCAGTGATGACGGGAATCCCTCACTCTACTGGACGGCATGGCAAAAACAAGAGCACTGCCGTCAGAGTCGAGCTGCTATGCATTGAAGACAAGCATCTACGATCATCTTTCTCATCTTTTCATATCTATTCATATTATAAGATATTATAAGCATTATATAAGTCTTCTGTATATGTCAGAAGGATTTAGAATGTGTCCGTAGTCACATCGCATATACTCAGAAACGCTGATGATGAAGTTAGTATTTGATATTGTCGTTGGCATCCAGGATCACTATGATCACTACCAATGCAACGTCTCCGGTGTGCCAAGAAATGACAAAATACGAGACTGAAGCAAGCACGACAATTGAACGAAGGATGGGAAGCTTCTCATTTCCCTCAGGTTCGCTGGGCAACAAGAATCATGTCAGAACCTCCAGTAGCAGGTGTGGCACAGTGCTTTTGGATTGTTTTTTACGAGAAAACCCGTAGTTCTTCGCATGTCATTGTGGGATTTCATATTTCATGTACTAAGTATAAGCATCCCAAGAACTCCCAGTATCTCGCAGTGAAATAGAAGGCAATTTCAAACTGCTTCAGTTTCTAGCATGACTCCAGTCGTGTTGCTCCCATGTTCCAAGCTCAGCTCCACCAACCCCCCGGCCCGTGCCTCAAATGTCAAAGACTCCGGTACCTCGAGGTACCTCAGCCAGCTCCCATTGGGGTCACCAGGGGTCACCAGCTGGTTGAAGCCCCCTGAGCCGTCGGACCGCCTTTGCCACAATCTTCACTGCTGTGGCCGGTGGTGGCAAAGCTTTCAATACCTGTAACGAGGTCTCACATCTTCTCACCCAAACGGCTCAAAAGCTAAAGTATCAAGTTCTTCTCTCGGCATCCGACTTGCCTGAGGCCACAAATTACTGGCAGAAACCATCTTCTTCAAGAAGCCCTGCACTTCCTCGCAGTTTGGCAACCCCTCTGCCAACATTGGAACGTCCCGAGCCCACCTTGCAACTAGAGGTTCAACCGGTTCAACCTCAAAAACCATTTTTTGGTCTTCAAAAGTGCATTTTTCCATTCAAAATCGCCATCGCTGTTGCTCCAAGTCACCCCAGTTTCATCACCGCTAACCTGGTAGCCCCCGCAAGACTCAGACCCAGCAAGTCCTGGACCTTGATATCCTTGGATGCTAAGACCTTGGAGAACCAGGCTGTCGCAGAAGTGAGGGGCCCAATTTGTCAGAATTGTAAGGGTAAAGTGGCGAAGAACCAGGGGACTTTACACATTTGACTGGGAAACTGGTGATAAACCATGTAATTCTTGGCAATGTTGATGGGAAACGAGTGATAAACCATGGGATTTTATACGTATAGTATAGCATGTTTCAGTTTAATGGCGAAAATGATGATAAGACATCTGATGGAATGAGGGCTCAGGGTACCCATTAACACACTGAATGTATCGGTGTTCTTATTGAACCATACTTTGTGATCGCTGATGACCCTTCAGGGCTTCGGGAGTCAGCTTCGCATATCAAGAATCGGTGGGTTTTGGCGGTCTGAAATAGCCATAGCTTAGTATAGATTTCGGTGTGAAAGCACAATGAAAAAACCAGTCGACTTGTTCATTGGATCCCATGAATCCCCATAAATCACAATTTCTGCTAGTTGAATTCCCACTTTTTGCGGCACCTGCGTCTGCGGCAGTTCGGCCAAGGGCCGGCGCAAGGCAGGAACCGCCTGGCACCCAGAATTCAACGGTCACGGTGGTATTCGGAAACTGGAGGTGGTATTCGGAAACTGGTATTCGAAACTGGACAGTGGTATTCGGAAACTGGACAGTGGTATTCGGAAACTGGACAGTGGTATTCGGAAACTGGACAGTGGTATTCGGAAACTGGAAACAGTGGTATTCGGAAACTGGACAGTGGTATTCGGAAACTGGACAGTGGTATTCGGAAACTGGACAGTGGTATTCGGAAACTGGACAGTGGTATTCGGAAACTGGACAGTGGTATTCGGAAACTGGACAGTGGTATTCGGAAACTGGACAGTGGTATTCGGAAACTGGACAGTGGTATTCGGAAACTGGACAGTGGTATTCGGAAACTGGGGAGTGGTATTCGGAAACTGGTATTCGGAAACTGGAAGTGGTATTCGGAAACTGGAAAGTGGTATTCGGAAACTGGGAGTCGTATTCGGAAACTGGAAAAAGGTATTCGGAAACTGAGATTGGTATTTGGAAACTGATATAATTGGAAACTGGAAACCCGTAGTAACAAGTAACGTAGCAACGATCCCAGAGATCTCAGCAGCGTAGTAACAAGTAACGTAGTAAGGTCCCAGAGATCCCAGCAGCGTAGTAACATGTAACGTAGTTTTAGATCCCACAGATCGTTGCAGCGTAGCACACTATAATGTACGAAGTACAAGGAACGTTGACATGCCCCCCTACCCCACCCCACCCACCCCATCAGCAGCGTAGTAACAAGTAACGTAGCAACGATCCCAGAGATCTCAGCAGTGTAGCACACTATAACGTACGAAGTTCAAGGAACGTTGACATGCCCCCCCTACCCCACCCTACCCCATCAGCAGCGTAGTAACAAGTAACGTAGCAACGAGCCCAGAGATCCCAGCAGCGCAGTAACAAGCAACGTAGCAACGATCCCGGAGATCTCAGCAGCGTAGTAACATGTAACGTATATGATTCAATTAGGGCGGTACCACGTAAGTGTATCGGATGATGGCTCTTTGGGCAGGGTTTACCCCTAACGCATTATATAGGCCAGAGGAGGTGGCAGTTTTGATCCCTCATGAAGTTAAGTTCAAGTAAAGACCCTATTCATCGTATTGGCCAGAGGGGATGGCGGTTTTGATCCCTCATGAAGATAGGTTCAAGGTAAGATCCTATTCAATCAGTTTCGTTAAGATCCTATTCAATGTATGGGCCAGAGGGGGTGGCAGTTTTGATCCCTCATGAAGATAAGTTCAAGTGAAGATTTTATGCATCGTATTGGCCAGAGGGGGTGGCAGTTTTGATCCCTCAGGAACTTAAGTTCAAGTTCAGATCCTGTTCATAGTATTAGCCAGAGGGGGTGGCAGTTTTGATGCCTCCTGGAGAAAAGTTGAAGTTAAGATCCTATTCAATGTATGGGCCAGAGGGGGTGGCAGTTTTGATCCCTCATGAAGATAAGTTCAAGTTAAGATCCGATGCACCGTATTGGCCAGAGGGGGTGGCAGTTTTGATTCATCATGAAGATAGGTTCAAGGTAAGATCCTATTCACTTTCGTTAAGATCCTATTCAATGTATTGGCCAGAGGGGGGTGGCAGTTTTGATGCCTCATGAAGATAAGTTCAAGTTAAGATCCTATGCACCGTATTGGCCAGAGGGGGTGGCAGTTTTGATTCATCATGAAGATAATTTCAAGGTAAGATCCTATTCAATGTATTGGCCAGAGGGGGTGGCAGTTTTGATCCCTCCTGGAGAAAAGTTGAGGTTAAGATCCTATTCAATGTATTGGCCAGAGGGGACGGCGGTTTTGTCCCTCTGAAGATAAGCAACAAAAGTTAAGATCCTATTTCTCGTATTGGCCAAAGGGGGGGTAGTTTTGATCCCTCATGAAGATAGGTTCAAGGTAAGATCTTATTCAATAAGTTTCGTTAAGATCCTATTCAATGTATGGGCCAGAGGGGGTGGCAGTTTTGATCCCTCATGAAGATAAGTTCAAGTTAAGATCCTATGCACCATATTGGCCAGAGGGGGTGGCAGTTTTGATTCATCATGAAGATAATTTCAAGGTAAGATCCTATTCAATGTATTGGCCAGAGGGGGTGGCAGTTTTGATCCCTCCTGGGGAAAAGTTGAAGTTAAGATCCTATTCAATGTATGGGCCAGAGGGGGTGGCAGTTTTGATCCCTCCTGGAGAAAAGTTGAAGTTAAGATCCTATTCAATGTATTGGCCAGAGGGGATGGCGGTTTTGTCCCTCATGAAGATAAGTTCAAGTTAAGATCCTATTTATCGTATTGGCCAGAGGAGGTGGCAGTTTTGATCCCTCATGAAGATAGGTTCAAGGTAAGATCCTATTCACTAAGTTTCGTTAAGATCCTATTCAATGTATTGGCCAGAGGGGGGTGGCAGTTTTGATGCCTCATGAAGATAAGTTCAAGTGAAGATCCTATGCGCCGTATTGGCCAGAGGGGGTGGCAGTTTTGATTCATCATGAAGATAATTTCAAGGTAAGATCCTATTCAATGTATTGGCCAGAGGGGGTGGCAGTTTTGATCCCTCCTGGAGAAAAGTTGAAGTTAAGATCCTATTCAATGTATGGGCCAGAGGGGGTGGCAGTTTTGATCCCTCCTGGAGAAAAGTTGAGGTTAAGATCCAATTCAATGTATTGGCCAGAGGGGATGGCGGCTTTGTCCCTCGTGAAGATAAGTTCAAGTTAAGATCCTATTTATCGTATTGGCCAGAGGGGGTGGCAGTTTTGATCTCTCCTGGGGAAAAGTTGAAGTTAAGATCCTATTCAATGTATGGGCCAGAGAGGGTGGCAGTTTTGATCCCTCATGAAGATAGGTTCAAGTTAAGATCCTATTCGCTAAGTTTCGTTAAGATCCTATTCAATGTATTGGCCAGAGGGGGTGGCAGTCTTGATCCCTCATGAAGATAAGTTCAAGTTAAGATCCTATGCATCGTATTGGCCAGAGGGGGGGTGGCGGTTTTGAATAGTTGCTGGGATACCATAATCATTGCTGGGAGAAACCATAGAGTCAGTCAGCATTGAATCCGACGAAAATAGTTTCTGAATACTGCAAAAATAGTTTCTGAATACCACGAGTAGTTTCTGAATCCGACGAAATAGTTTCTGAATACTACGAAAATAGTTTCTGAATACTGCAAAAATAGTTTCTGAATACCACGACAATAGTTTCTGAATACTACGAATAGTTTCTGAATACCACGAGTAGTTTCTGAATACCACGAAATAGTTTCTGAATACCACGAAATAGTTTCTGAATACTACGAATAGTTTCTGAATACCACGAAATAGTTTCTGAATACCACGAAATAGTTTCTGAATACCACGAGTAGTTTCTGAATCCGACGGAATAGTTTCTGAATCCCACAAAATAGTTTCTGAATACCACGTTTATTTTCTGAATCCGACGAGCAGTTTCTGAATCCCTAGTTTCTGAATCCGGCGTAGTTTCTGAATCCGTCTGTCCAGAATTCAACTATCGGGGTTTTCCATGAAATTCAAAGGCTGGCGTTTGGATGTTCTTGAATTGTATCATGTTGTATCACCATTTTGGTCTGCTGGTGTAGGATCCTGTTTTGGCTGACAGAAGCTCAGTCTTCTTTTTCACTGAGGATTGACTGATCTGGATGGGGTTGTCCAAAAAAACAGAAGAGGACCCCAAAATCCGCTGGTGCATGATCACAATCCCTTTCCAAATTGGCCGAGTTATTCCCTATTTTGAGACCCATTTAAATCATCCAAATCCTTCCAATGAACCATGTCAGAGTTTGCTAGCTGCAGGTCCTTGTTGCAGCCTCTTTTGTCACCGCATGATGGAAGCCCCTTGGTTCAGGTCTAACCTGTAGTCACATCATGCCACTCACCCTACAGAAGCCTGGGATTTCTCCACAGCGTCCGCAAGTGCTCGGACCACCAGAACCTGACACTTCCAGCTAAATACTGAATCAGTTTTGAAACTTTGCAACTGAAAAGGCGGGTCTCCATTTTCATCCATATGTATCCATCAACAGTCACACACATGTAACACCAATGTATACTGTAGACAATATATCGTATAAAATATAAAACAAAAAATATTACAGTGCATATCTGTACAAAGTGATATAAAGTGATATAAAGTGATATAAAGTGATATAAAGTGATATAAAGTGATATAAAGTGATATAAAGTGATATAAAGTGTATACCCCATATATACAATGACTGTCTAACGCTGACCTTTGATCCCTTTACCACCGCTTCACGCTCGTCTGAGTCCCGCGCAATCGCCCCCAGGCCCCCTGGATGTTTTGCTTGGCAAGTTGTGACCTGCAGACATCGAGCCAAAAACTGCTTGGTTAAGAATGGGATTCCCATGATGATAATTAATCCCTAATACATAATATGTATCAGTATAACTATGTATCATGGGAATAGTATCTGATACTATTGGTTAAGAATGGGATCCCATCTGATGGTAATAGTATCAGTATAACTATGTATAACTCCCATGGTTTTTGACCAACTGCTGATTTTGTTTCACCAAAACCGGATCCGAAACGCCTGCCGCTTCTCAACTCTCCGTTGTGAATCGCCTCGGGATCTCTTTTTTGATCTCTGCAGTCCCTGTCCTACAGGATCCCGTTTGGCCCCTAAACTTTGATTCATGGGCCATGGATAAAAATGGCGTACCCAAGAATCATGATGGATCACCATTCTCTCCATTTACCCTCTGGTAATTTAACATAGCTATTGAAAATGGCCAGTTATAGTGGATGTTCCCATTAAAAATGGTGATTTTCCATAGTTATGTTAGTTTACCAGAAGGTAACATGCATTTTAGATCATCTTAGAGTATCCGACATCTCGTCTCGGGCGCCAGATTGTGCCATCGATCCTGGCCGTTTTCCGGAACAAGCCCCCATTCCGATGAGGTGAGAAACGGAACAGGCAATGAAAAAATCAAGATGGATAGATCAATATAAATCATAAATCATCTATGCAGTCTATCATCTATAATTAAATGTGTTTACAATATTACAATATATATATATATACACGTATACTTATCTTATAATATAATATAATATAATTTAATATAATATAATATAATATAATATAATATATACAATATAATATAATATAATATAATATAATATGATATAATATAATATAATATAATATATCATTTAATAATATATAATACAACATAATCAATAATAAAATATAATATATAATATATAATATATTTTGTAAAATAATATAATTATAATATAATAAATAATATATAAGATATAATATTATTAATAAAATATAATATATATAATATTATTTTAATATATAATCTATAATATAATATAAAATATATTAATATATATATAATAGAATATATAATATAATATAATATATTTAATATTTAATTTAATATATAATATAATATATGATATATAAGATATAATATAATATATAAATTATAATATATTATATATAAATTATAATATATTATATATAATTTATAATATATAATATATAATATAAAAGATATAATATAATATATTATATATTATATATAATTTATAATAAATAATATATAATATATAATATGATATGTAAAATATAATATAATAAATAATACAATATACAATATAATATATTATAAAGTATAATATAATATCACATAATATAATTTTATAATATACTGTGTATATATGTATATATATTGCATCCGCAGAGGTATGACGCATATTGATATAGTACGTGTATGTGCAAGGGGGCTCTCCTCTGGAAGACATATTCGATCATATTCGTGTGTAAGTGATACCATCAAATGATCCACGCTGTAAACCATGGCTGCCATTGGAAGAAGCCCTTCGGAGGCGCACCCCACAAGTGCCCTCAGTCAGAATCGCATCACATAAACCTGGCGACAGGAAATACTCCCAGAATTGTAAGGGAAAATCTACAGGAACATGCTGCTTCTATAATCTTTTAATTATATTCATATGATCTATATATATATATATCATATATATATATATACTGTAATATTATATAATTATATATTTGTGGGGTCAAAACTACGGTTTCCTGTAGATTTTCTCTTCAACCAATCGATTGAAATACAGGAAATCGTCCGGACTGCATTGATCCTGGAGGCGAAGTCACTAGTCACTTGACAGCAAGCCTTTCGAAGTTGGTAGCCAGGGAGGAAACAATCAGTGAAACAATCGGCTCATATCGCAGAAAGATATCTGACCACTGAACCAGGGACCCACGTCATTTTATCCTGGATCACTGTGATCACTTGCGTATGTTCAAGAGTATGGGGTGTTCATGGGTGTTCAAGTGTGGGGATACCCAGATCACAAAAGCTTTCCCCAAGGCAAAAACCAGTTTGGTGGATTCGGAATCCTATTTTCCAACCAAAACACAATGGTTTGAATATACCCAAATGAATTCCCAAATGGACACAATTCTTTTTGGAGGTTGGGTATTCCCGCCATGGCATAGTCCATGAACGGAACTGTTTGCAGTGCTCTCTGCCTGCAAAGAGACGCAGGTTCATGAAGATCTGATATTGCAGCTCTGGACCTGTTATTACGAGCGTTTTCCCCGGCAGTCTCGCAATTCAGAAGTGGTGATGTTGTGCGGTTGGATTATCAGCTTGCCGATCAACCATGTCTCCGATTGTTCGCAGAAAGGTTCTGCCAAAACAGTTTTCATGGGAACTAGCTTTATGACTTATGAGAAAAGGCACTGAGAGATTCGATGATTAAGCATATTTTAAAAAGTGCATGACGTGAACGCACCATCACTTCGACTTCGACATCCCCTCTCACCATGTTTGCCTTTGAAAGACTTGTGGAAAATCAATTCATTCAGGTTTCAATATATATCAATATATTATATATATCATCCCAATGGGAAAATTGGTGATTTAAGCATCCACAATTGGGATTACCTGGGATATTGAGGAGTATGTAACTATCCAATTTTCATCAATTTTGGATGACCATAACTTGTCTTACTGGACTCAATCTGAGGGCGGCACTCCCGTAGCGGATGACTTGTACCCAAAGTTTGCTGCAGGCAGCCTGGAGTCCAACAGAAATAGGGAAACAAAAAGCAACAAGCTTAGCAAGCTTCATAGTGGCTGTACTCTGTGTTTAACTCTGCCTGTACATAGCAATGTTTACCCTCTGGTAAACTAACATAACTATGGAAAATCACCATTTTCAATGGGAAAATCCACTATAAATGGTGATTTTCAATAGCTATTTTGACATAACCAGAGGGTAACATGCCAATCTCAAAAACAGGCCATCCCAATCCATCCCACCTGAAAAATGTGATTGCATCTGTACATGAAGAACCATTTGGCGAGAGCATTCCATACCTGCGATTTTCAGAGAGGAATCCCGGCATCGAAAAAGCTGTCCTGGTTCCGACTCAACACTCCGAAATCATGACGCAAGAGAGACACAAAGAGCTAAGAGCTATCTACTTGCAAAAGAAACCCATAACTCCATCACATGTATCACTGATAGATTGCAATATTATGTGCTTGAAAAAATATCTCAGAAAATTCACAGACGCTACCAGCCGCTACCAGCCATACATCCAGTTATACACCATGGCGCACCGCTGGCTTCACCAGTGGCAACAAACGCTCCGGCACCAAACGCGAAAGAACCTCGGCCGCTGCAGGGCGGTTGGATCAACGGCTGCATGGGATGATCAAAGCGAAGCCCTGGGATCTACATGGATCTACCTATGGAATCCTATGGAAATTGATAAACATGGCCCATATTGGCCCATGAAAACCATGAAAATAGATGACTATATATCTATATAGATGGCTATAGATGATTTAGCCATAAATGGTGATTTTCCGTAGCTATGATAAATTACCAGAGGGTACTGGAACAGGGCCGCCTTTGGCAGAGACACTGATGACCTTGTCAGCGATCTGGGGCTGGCACTGATATGATTTGAACCACTTCCACCCGCAACGCCCCCAAGGGCTCTTGAACTACGTACCTTCACCAGCCGCGCTGTGTATCGATGCGTATTTCGCCGGAATGATTATCTCAGTCTAAGAATAGGGTATACATGGGTACACAGTATCCCAAAAAACATATACCATATTCAAAAGGGAAATGTATGGAAATACAGTGGGTGGAAGAAATCCTGCACCACCAAAAGGATGGTTGAAACATGTTGAAACCCTATCAACTGGTGCAGGATAAACCACCTATCAACTGGTGATTTCGCAACCATCCACAGTATGATACTCCGGGGCACCCGCTCAAGCGTAAGGCCTCCCTGCCTGGCGGGGGCGGTGGTTCGAAGAAGCCCCCCTTGGGGAGATCCAATGCATCATGTACCATCCAATAACACGTTTTTTAACATCCAAAAAACATATGAATTAATATGGAAATATAATATGAAATTAAGACCCAATGAGACACAAAATACATCCAAGATCCATCAATATCCCAGAAAATCCAATCACATAATAAAATACAACATCATCCAATATCCGATAAGTATCCAACAACCACAATGGGCACCCCTAAAATACCAATACCACACCGGTGGATCTCACGGAATGCCTTCGCCCATCGCAACTTCCCGGCCACTCCTGGAAAGATGTTGAAACATGTTAACCGTTAAACATATTTGAAACCAGCAGTTAGAGGTGTGTGTGTGTGGTTTATACTAAACCAGGACTGCCTACTGCAATCATGCAGCAATTGTGCATAGCACCGGCTGGTTGCATTGGATGTACGTGGCTTGACAGGTCGCAAACATCTATGCCGTAGCGGCTTGCCCTATGGCATCCGTTTTTGATTGTTTTTTGTCTCTGCAGCATGCGATGTAGAAATACTCAAGGTTGGCTATGCAGCAAGTCCATCTATTGTTCGGCCTCATCTTCAGCAAATGAAGACCTGCAAAGATGGCAGCAGCGTGCTTCTCATGGAACATCGCTAAATATTCAACTCAATTATGTATCAATGTTGGATGGCCATCTTAATATTCCATAGGACCCCCATAAAATTTGGATTACCTCCATGTTTGGATGATTGATGATTCCCCCAGATTCCCCCCATATGTTTTCCCAAAAAAAATCCTGGAGACCCCATCTGTTGACCTCGCCTAAGGCCGAGAAGACTGCGTCCAAATGCTGCAAGCACTGCCCTGCCAGCGCTTCGACCACATCAGGCCGGCTGCCATGGATTTGAAGCGCCTTGGACGAAATGGAGCCGTCCCGCCATTTGAGGCCACAGGAACATGGATTTCTCTGAAACTTTGGGGAAAAAAACAAAATCCACTGGTGAAAATCAGGATGATCATCTTCCCTCTTTTTTACATAGCCATTTGGGGTTACCATGTTCAGACACAGCCACGTTTGAAATCATCTCGAATCCCGAGACCTGCAAATGTCAAAGCCGAAGCAGAAACAGGTGCCTTGAGATGCAAGGTATCTTCCATGGCATCTGAACATCCCACAGGACAGTCACAAAAAATAGTCTATTGAAATCTGTTGAAACCTATTGAAGTTGATCATTGTGGGCATCTTTTTCCAGGAAAAATCCCAGTCTGGGCTTGGCACATGCTGCAGGAGGCTGTTCAGCAAGGATGCAGACTCGAACTCGCTCCCAGTTAGCCTCGGCGAAGTACTGCAATGTGACTGCGCAAAACGATTGCGGTGCAAATCTCTTGCAGAAGTTGCGGTGCAATTCTGCACTTCTCTACATTTTGAGGAAGTTCTGAGAGTGTACTTGTATATGCTGACAGTTGCTGCGAAGTTGACTTCAGAAGCCACTAGCATTTGCATACTACAAAAATGAAAAAAATACATCTGTTCCGACCTGATGGGTGCTTCGGCTTCTCACAACCACCAGTCCTTGACAAGTCCTGAAGTCACCGTTTATCTACTGCTTCCAGGCAACAGGCAAAGCGTTGAGACCAACGGCACCTCGATGAAAAAGTCTTTCAGAAGCAACACCTGAACCTGCGCACATTGTGCGCTGCACAGGAAAAATTATACTGTTGTATATATATATATATTAGTTAGACTGTTGCTCCCCCGTCTTTCTCATCTACCCGCCCAGATTATGATACAACAAAATTCTATGGGGTAAATACTAAAGACAGGGGAGCAACACCTTATAGAAAACAATAACATAAATCATAACAACAAAACAACAAAACAAAACAAAAACTCAAACAACCTAAACAATACTATAGATTGTAAAAAGACTACACCATAAATCATAACAAAAAACAATTTCACTTTTATAATTTTGAAATTATAAAATAATTTTTATGTTTGCTGTTTCTTCAAGTTCTCCAGATGCTTTGTTGTTTGTGTGTGTCTCTTATAATTCTTACATTGAATTTCATAATCATCACATACAGGGCAGGTCATCCATTTTATTTTAGCATTCACTTGTTCAATGTTTTCTGCTCTATGATTTCTTCTTCTTTCATTTATTTCTTCCCTGTGTGTCCTACCATAATTTCTAGCATATCCCTTTGCCTCCTCTATATGATTGTAATAATAGTCTCTCCTCCTTTCATTATATTTTTCTTTGTTCTTTTGATGATTAGCCCTCATATATTCCCTACATTTATCACAAGTTTTGTATTTACCCTCTTCCATTTCCTTAAAACATTTAGCACACTTGACTTTAGTATCCTCCATTGCCTACTATAGATAGGTAATAACTCTTTAAGTGTCTTTCCTATCCCTTTTCCCTAGATTATAACATAATCAACAACACAATCATAACAACACACAACAAAAGAAAAAACAAAAACAAAACAACATAGACAAAACAAAAGACAATACCATAAATCATAACAACAACAACAACAACAACAACAACAACAAAATCAAAACAACCTACTACAAACAAAAACAAAGCAACAAAACAACAATAACAAAATCCTAACAACCTACTATTAATAAAAACCAATAACATATGACATAACAAGCTCATCATATCAACCCATCTCATCAGTCTCATCCGTAAAAATTATATAATATTATCATCATTTGTATTGAATAATTTTCATCAAAGCATATACAAATATACATCATCTTACCTTATCTATTTCATAGGTGTTATTTCCAGAAATCATAATTGCTTGAAATAGTCCTAGAAAATAGTTGCAACATAAATTTAATAGAATTACTTTATCAAATTTATAGGGTGAATCAACATAATTTTCATAATCATTTTTTATGAAGATTATGGGATTAATTACCACAGTCTCTCCCTATAGGGGAAGCCTCAGCCCCCAGCCAAAATACTATCCCACCCCCAGCATAAATACCAGCATACATACAAACTAGCATATCACAACAGCATCACATCTTTCTCAATCTCAAATCTCTTTAATTACCGCAATTAACCGCCCTTCATGAACTTGTTGATAACCATGTCTTCTTAACCTCAGTGCGATGTAAATGGCACAGCGATCCAAACTTTTGGGGCGAGATGGAGTGAAAAAGATGTGTGTGGTGTGCCTTGTTGGTGCCAGCATGTCAAGCTTTGAAGGCTCACTGGCATGAATGCTCTATTGAAGCAATGTCCTATTCCTACTTGACACCCTGAAACCTTGCTACCTACAGACCTTGTCAATCATAAAAGCATCTGCTAAGAGCACTGTTTTGCAAAAGTCGCCCTGCTGGCGAAGCAAGCACGTGCTTTGTAAGTCGCCCTGTTGGCGAAGCAAGCACTGCTTTGTAAGTCGCCCTGTTGTTGGCGAAGCAAAGAACTATTTTGCAAGTCATCATGCATGCTCAACCTCCAATCTTGCAGTCCCCAGCAGAACCGCAATTGTGGCCGCGTTCGGTCTCGCTTGTCGAGAAGAAGGTATTCAAAAGCTTGGTATCCGAAAAATTTGACACCGCATTCAAGATGCTCTCAGGCCTTGAAAACCAAACAATGGTCAAAAGCTAGAGAAAAAAAACGCAACCGCAAGCATAGTAAAGCCCTCTAAACATGACAACAATAGCATGCATTCCAAGCACAACTCAGAAGAATAGATTGACCGCACAGATAAGAAAGATAAGAAAACAATTAATAAATGAAACACGAAAGAACTAATATACAAATATAATAAGGAATGGTAAAATTGGGAAAAATAGGAAAAACAACCCAGATACTGATACTGTGCCAGATCGTTTGTTTCCTCACCGAAAATGGCACATGCCCAATTTTTATCCCCAGCTGTTGCAGGAAGCCGGCGTAGTTGTGCATGTCCAAAATATGGCAATGCCACACAAGGTCCAGCTCTGCAGTGGGAGTATAATTCCTAAGTTTTTGCACCCAAGCAAAGCTTCTGGCACCAAAAACCGACCTGAAAAACCAAGCCAAATAATGTAAAAAGACAAAACTGCCAGAAATGTATAGAAATGTCGAGTTTCTTCATGGGCTGCGCCAAAATCGCAGCGTACCAAATCTTCAGAGCCCGCTCTGCAAGCACCACATACTCCTCCTCTGAGAGTGGGAGCCCTTCCATGACCGCAGGTCTTTGTCGCACTGCACACTTGGCATATACTTGCTGAAATTCCATGCTTGCAGCTTCTCAATCTGGACGTTCAGCATGTTTTGGTCTGGCTCTGAAGTCGTAGTCACGCTGTCGGTGCAGCTCAAGCTCGATGCAAGGATGAGGCAAGCGAACACACCGGATTTGAGCGCCATGGACTAAGCTCAAACTGAAAGAGCTAATTTCCGTAGCTTTCCAATTGATTGAGAGTGTCAAAGATGCTCAAATTGAAACAAATTCCAAGGTCAAGCTCACCAATTGGCTTAAGAACATGTGGCAAATTCACAATTTCAAACCTCCAACTGACATATCCCCAACAGCTGAGCGCCCCGACAACAGGATGAAGAAGAGATTGATGACAAAGCCAAGGCGAGGAAGGGCAAAGGAACATGGAGCAATCCCAGCCAATGACCCAAACGTGCAAAACACGAATTCGTGGGGAAAACAAATGAAGGGCAAAACACAAAACCCCGAAATCAAAAGAGCACATCACATCAACCATCTCGTGGTTGCATCAAGTAGGCATAAGTAAGAAAAACAAATGCTTACAAGGCTTTCTAAAAACACTAAATCTTTAAAAGTTCATGCCTCATCAACAATCTTGGGTAATCAGTTAATTTGTAATATTTTTGGTTCAACTTTTCTGCAATCTCTTGCACAACATAATAACCTTTCAGCCAGTGGGAAGTTCTTTCTTTCTCTGTAATTGCTTTCTTTCTCATTATCTTTACTTTGTCTCCCACCTCTAATGTTGGGTATATTCTTTCTTTCTTTGCCTTTGATGCTACATTCAGCATTGCCCTAAATTCATTTTTCTCTTTCCTTGCCTCTTTTGGTGTCATACCTGTAGCGGAGTGTTTCATTTTATCATTGTATGTCAGCATAATTTCTAAATTGTAATCAACCCATTTGATATGTTCTCTTCCTTTCTTTTCATCTGCTTCAACTCTTTTAAAAAGCATATCTTTGTAGGTGCGTATAAATCTTTCAGCAAAAGCAGGATGACCCCTTGTCCTATACAACTCAATATTCTCACCTTCAATATAGTCTTTAAAATCACCTCCTGCTATTGCTTTTTCATCATCACTGTATATGATTTTTGGTTTCTTTCCCATTCTTTTTAATGCCTCTTTAGTTGCCTCAATAACATCAGGTTCATTCTTGCTTACAATTGGAATTACTACGGCATATTTGCTCAACACGTCAATGCACACCAATCCTCCTCTATATTTTTGTTCTTCATCAAAATCATAATACCCCATAAAAAACAAATCTATCTGATAAGTATGATTATTTGTTGGTGCTGTGAAGGAATTATACCCTCTGGGCTTTGCTTTGACTTCTACATTCTTTCTAAAGAATTGCCTTACATCATCCATAGTAATGCTACTATCTTTCTTCTTGCTGTCTTCAAGGGTTGTTTTTAAAGAACCAAACCCAGCCTTATCAAAATATATATCATTGATTATTTTTTGCTTCTTACTATCAGTCATTATAGAATAGATGATATAATAAGTAAATATTATATAATTTATTCTTCTTTTTGTTGCTTCAGCCAGTCTTGATGCTGTTTGCTTCTTTTGTGTCTTGCTTTGTGCTGTTTTGTAAGAGTAGTCCCGCACTCACAAGTAATTTTTTCACATATTGTTTCTTTCTTTTGATGATAGTATTGGTTCATATATTCCCTGCGCTTAACCCTTGTCCTTTCCCTGTATTCTTGTAATGTTGTGCCTTCTATCCGTTTATTCACACACTTTGTATTTTTGATATGCTCCCCTTCTCTTGCTTCAAGTTCTTTTTTGCTACTACAAGGGTAATCTTCAATCCAATAAATTTTACAATTTTCAATTCCGTATTTATCAAAAATATCAAAAACTGTAATTTTACCCCTTTTGCCTAAAAGATAAGACCTATATTGCCTTCTATGTCTCCCAAACCTTTTTACCAATTTTTCAGTTGTTGAACCAATGTAGCACAGATGAAAACCAACATCCACAACTTTATAAATTTGTCCCTTTTCATACCCACTCATTCCCTAATATAAATTATAACCAGTATTTCTTTAAAACAATTTTCACAATGATATCTTATTTGAAAAAGCACAATTACAAGAAACGCAATATCCAACTACATTATCCTTGAAGTGGCTTTGTTCATTATTAACTCTTTGACAGCTAATATTTGATGAAACCTTCCCATCTTCAAAATCTATCACCAATGGTTCATTACAATTTTCACACTGGGTATTCATCAGGTTCATCAAAAAATCTACATCAACATACTCATTTCCTTCTACATCTCTACCTGCTTTTTTGTCTTGCTCAATGTAATTTAAAACCTTTCTCTCAAAATACTGCTCTACTATCCTTTTAGATTTACTTTCTTCACCTTTATTATATTTGAAAAACTTAATTTTGTTGAAGTCTGTAGCCCTTGTGAGGGCTGTAAAAAACCAATTCTTACTAACATACCATTCATTCCAATCATATATGACTATATCACCATCAACGCTACAACCTTGCTTTGAATGTGCGGTGTAGCAGTAAGCATATATAAAATGTTTTCTCAACAATTCTATTTTTATGTTTTGCTTCTCATTAGTAGCCACATTTTGTAAAACAACAATATCGCCAACAATATTTAAAATCCTAAATCTAAAATTCACATTAAATTTTGTGCCTTTATTCTTGATATACTTTCTACATATAACTTCCTCACCAATAACATATTCTTCAGTTATATTTTTCATTTCTCTGATTTTGCTTGAAACCATTTTACAGGTGTTATTTGTATAAGCAATATTATTCTCATACATTTCTATCTTGTCAGTCCATTCAAAATATTTATCAATGATTTCTCTAAAAGGTGTGCCTTCAAAAATCATTCTTTTGACATCTCTTAATTTGTGTCTATCTTCTTCAGTCTTCAATCTCTTACATTCATATAGCATAATATTATTTTCAAAAATCAAATTAATACAATGGTCAGCATATTTTTCAAAAGCAATTACATTACTTACACTCTCAGGATTTTTCAATTGCTTTGTATCACCAGTTGCTAATACAATCTTGTCAGGGTTTTTCTTCTCAAAGTCCCATATCAAAGCCCACTTGCCTACATTATGAAAATATATCTCATCAAACACTATAACATCATAACCTGAATAATCAAACTTGTTCAGTCTTTCATCTCCAAATGAAATACCAAAAAACTTATTTATGGTAGTCCATTCACAACCGCATTGTTGCCCTAACTCATTGCTATGAACAACAAACAACACTTTGTAGTTTCTATTTTTCAGATGCTTACATATATAACTCTTGCCTGAACCTGCGAACTCTGCCCTAATCATCAGCCTCCTATTGGTCATAATATGCTCATCTATGATTTCATCAGTGTTCCATTCATCCTTGACATCACCTGTTTTATTTTCATATTCCATTATATCACACAAAATACTGGGTTGTTTGCAAAATGCCTTGCTGGGAAAATTGAATTTATCAGACCACCGCCAGTCTCCAATCTCACTACCAAACTTCAATATTTCCTTTGCTTTACCCAGATTACATTTATCTATAACAAAGGCATCAGTTTTTACTGAATACACCATTACATCATCCCTCATAAGTGTTTCATAAGCCTCATTCATATCGTGATTATGATGTTGTAAAATCAATTCTTTGATAAACCTATATCCATTCATTAAAGTTTTTGTGTCAGATATGTTAAGCACATAATGCTTACACTCATCCACAATTTTAGCAAGTTCTTTCTCATCATTTTCAGGCTCAATGACATTGCCTTTATCATCAAATTCAATCAAGCAATCCTCATCATCATCATACACTTCACCATCCCATTTAGTTTCACTAATGATACTTATATCACCACCGTATTTTTCCTGATAGTAAAAGGCATCAACCATTTTTGAAAACACTATGGATTTTTTAGCAGTGTTAGTTTGCTTTTCTAACAAGCCAATGTTGATACAAGCAATCATTTTCTTTTTCAACTTATCTTTCTCTTCATCCTCATCCAGTTTCAATTCCCAAAGTTCATTAATTAGTTTTTTGTAATTAACTTTGTAGGTGTTAGATGGAATTTTGTAATAAATGACTTCAACATCATCATAATATTTTTTCAAAAACTTACCGTAAATCAAGTTATAAGTCCTATTAAAAAACAAATTCCTAACTTTGCTTTTAACAAGATATAATGTTAAAGCATTCATCTTGTTAAAATCATTCTTGCTATAATCATACTTTTTCCAAATATCAAATTCAGAAAAACAAGGCACTTCAAAAACATCCATTGTAGATTTAGTGTAAGCCTTTCTCCTATCTAATTCAATGTGTGTATTCTTACCTTCAACGATGCTTTCAAAATATCCACTGGGTGCTATGCTATGTGCCATTGAAAATATGTTCAAGTCATCATTGTTATAATATGACTTGTGATTAGGATTGAACATACCTTTATTAAAATTGAAAAATGCCTCATTTACTTTGTTAAACATATCAGCACCGCTACTACCAATAGAAGTATCCACAGCGCAGTCTATCAAAGTTTGACTTCTGATGTTCAAAATCAGTTTATTAAATTTTACCTTGAGTGATGCCACATTGCCACCTGCTCCCATTATGATTTTAGGCTCATACTTTGCCCTCTTGAACTCACAAAAAATTGTATTCAAATTCTTGCCACTCACCAAATTCACTTCTTCTTCGCGAAGCCCTGCGGAGCCTCGCGAGGACTTCTCCGAAGCGTCAGTATCTTCATTAGCTTCAACTATACCCATTATGTCATCAATGCCATTGAAAAAATCATACTTAACAGGCTTCTCTTTGCTATTTAAATGAAAGTCAGTAGAAGCATTTAGTTTCATATCTTCCTCTAATTCCCTTTGTGCTATGCTCTTGATGTTGTCATTCATTGTGTAAATGTGGTTGCCCTTAATCAATCCAAACAAAACATTAACATTTTTGTTCTTCTTATCAGGGTCATAGGTAAAAATCTTTTGCCCGATACAGTTGTATAATCTGACTGTCAGTTTAAACTCTTCAAAAACAGGTTTCATATCTTCAACTGATGCCCCATTCTCTCTGAACTTTTCTTCATTCAAATTCATTAGTTTCAAAACCTTATCTCTTGTCATTCTTTTGCTCTCCCACTTTTTAGTATTCATTAGTGTCTCTTCATAGTGGTCTATC